CCCCCCATCTCCCCTGGTCAGCTCTGCTCCCCTCCTGGCTGGTCCTCACCCCCATCTGAGATCAAGTGTGTCCGGTATCATTTTCTTTTTTAAATCATCTGGTACCCCTACCTCTGTGTCACACAAGGCCACAATAGGTCCATAGAAATACCTTGAGTTAGAAGTGGGAGGAAAAATTACAGGCCTCTTGAAAGATGCTGGATCACAAAGGAAAAAGCTGCAGTTTTAAATAGCTGCTGCTAAATTCTTATAGTAATTTAAAAAAAAAAAACCTCTGCTGCTCAGTAATGACTGTGAAGTGTAAAATACTGAATGGCCTTCTTGCTGACGGAAGCAACACATCCTTTTGCAGCACACACACTGCCACTTGGAAGTTACCATGTGATTATCACCAGTACTAAGCATATTGGAAATGAAAAAACTCCATGCATGTTAAAGGCGTCTCTTCTAGCCGTCAGCTGTCTGCCATGCCTCAGTCTCGCTGCCTTTGGAAGTAGGCGTCCTATTTCAAGCAGAACCCGGGAGCTTTCAGCACACGTTTCAGACACAGAACATTCTAAATATACCCATTTCCTGTTGCCATGATGCTAATTATGCTTTTTGCTCTGTGCCATTCTTTGACAGCAGCTCTGTTTCTGCGTCAGCATAATGGCATAGTGTGTTTATAAAAGGTGAAGGGAGAACTGCCCGTCTTTGCCTTTGCTCTCTTAGGACAGCAGATGCTTTGGCCCATGTCTGTTAATCCTGTTGTATTAATTGACTATTTTCCTTTGCATCCTGTAGAATTTGCTCTTTCCATCTTTGAGAAGATGCAAGCACAGGAAATCCTGAGGAGCCTGCGGCTGCCTGAGTTCGATGACTTCAGTCAATTTTTCCGCAGCTTGCCAGCCACCACCTTAGTTGGCATTGGTGCCTTTGCTGCGGTGATTGCATACTGGTTCGCTAGCCGGCCAAAGGCACTGAAGCCACCATGTGACCTCCTGATGCAGTCAGAAGAAGTTGAGGTAAGGCTAGCATTATGTAGACCCTTCCAGGCATAAAAAATTAACCCTTAGGAATATGGAGGTTTGGCTAGATTCTATGGGCACAGTCTCCACTGCTGGGTCCCTTAAAGTAGTAATTCACACCAGGCAGAGTGGCTGTAGAATGCTACTAAATCAGAAGGGTACCATTTTACCAGATCTGATGATGGAGAATGAGGAGGCGAAAGGCACAATTGCCCGATGATGATTCAGCAGCGATTGGAGCCCCAGTATGCTCTCGGTGGCACTGAGGGCTGATGGGGGAGTGGAATTTGCAGTGCACTCCAGGCAGTGCTGAGGGCTGCCCTTAGTTCTGTGTCTTCTGCCTAAAGTCCCACCTGTTCTGGGTATGTGGAGTCTGGCCCCAACTATCTTGCCTAGAGACCCGACAATTTTGTCAGTCCCCTGATTTTTTTACACCCACTTCACATGGCTGCAAAGGCTCTTCAGAACCAGGCCTTTGCTATTTGTGTGTGTTATACTGTTCCATCCTGGACAACGGTTCACAGGCTGTTACACGACAGTTCACAGGTTGTTCCACGACAGATTAATTTGACCCTCTTAATTTTTCAGCAGTTTAAAAGGCAGGAATAAACATCCAAGCCATGAATTTAATCCCTGCTTAATTCCTCCCAGTTTTAGCCTGCCTTGGCCATGAGGCACTCAAAAATTACGTACAAACCACTAAAAACCCAAGACTTAATGTTCCCACAGATGGTCGCTATCATCTCAGATAGCACTGTGTGCGTATGCTCACTCTGTAATGGTGGCTGCTGTAAACTCAGTGGTACAACAAAACATTATGCCTTAATCCAAACCTGAGGCTGAGTATTCATTCATCTTGATGCTTTTTAAAGAGCTTTGAGGTTTAAAGAAACTGCTCCAATGTTAAAGTGCAAGAGCTTCCAAGAATAACATCTCAAGTTGAATTCATGCTCAAAACCGAGGGAACGTCTAGACTGCAGAGCTTTTTCTGAAGGTATCCCGGAAAAGCTCTGTCGCATCCAAGGAATGCATCCGCTTTTCCAAAAAAAATATCAGAAAAGTAGATGCATTTTGTCAGCATCCCTCTTAAAACCTCACTTTATGAAGAAGGGATATTCCAAAAGAGGGTTTTTTTTTTTTTTTTTTTTTTTTTAAATTTGGCTCCGTGTAGAGAGGCCAAATTTCGGAAAATCGTCTTTCAGAAGAAAATCGGAAAGAGATATGATTTATATTTTTCTGATTTATCTTTGTAGTCTAGACATAGCCTGAGACACAAGATAAGAATCTAAAGGTTAGTGACACACTTATCCTTCTAGCAGGTTCCCCCTTTAAAAGAACGTTTACTGTCCTTAATTATTAAAAAATAGGCAAAAGTTTATATTTCCACATGGAAGCAATTCTCTTCTGATTAAAACAAGGACTCTGAGGGGGTGAGGGAGAGCAGAGCTCTTTCCAACCATAGTTTTGATTCATTGCATAACCTTGGACAAGTCACTTACTTACCTGCTGTCTGATTCATTTTAAACCCATATAGTGAATAACATCTGCCGGGGTGAAAATAATTTAAATTCTTATGGGGACTGTCCTGTTGCAACCTGGGTCCTTGCCAGCTCTTTGAACAGCTGCCTGCTGGCTTTTGCCACAGCTCAGCCAGTTCTTGTCAGAGAGGTGCACCAGGGCACATCCTCCTACTATCACCTGCCTAAGTTATTGAGGCATTGTGAAAATAATTAGTATTTGGAAAGTACACTGCAAAAAGCAGGTTATAGTTGTTATGACATTGACATGGCAAACTAATAATATTCCTATGAGCAGGGGTGGCGTGTGACTATAGGCCGACTTGGCTGTCGCCTAGAGCGCCACCTTCAATGGGGCACCCGGGGTGCCCGATGATGACGTCACTCCATTGACAGTCGTGGAGGCGGGGGCTCCGATCGTGCATTCCGCCTGGGGCAGCAGCTGCTGCAGCCCACCTGGGGCCACTCCTGCCTATGAGATTTCCTATTTAAAATCTCAACTATCCTACATTTGTGTATTATATGTACTCACTGATGGAAAGAGGCAGAAATTGGATGCTGTAAAGATTAACCCAGGGTTATCCACTAGTAATCCATTGAGGACACTGCATTGAGCTGATTTGCATCGCCTGCATCCTTGTGGGCATTATTAGGAATCTGAGTCATGTGGAAGCTTTAATCACTGACACAGCAACTTCTTAGGCAACCACACAGGAAAGCTAGAAAAATCAGAAAAGTAAGGTGAAGTACCCCACCACACAAAAAAAGTCCAAAATTTCTGCTGAAGACACTGGGAACTGTATTATTTAATGGGAAAACCATCTTCTCTTCCCAAGAGCTTGGCCTGTCTGTGGACTAAGGATGTTAAGGACTAGTCGACTATTCGATAAGCAAATGCTTATTGGATAGCTGAGTTGACTAGTTGATTTCCTCTCCCCTTGCTGCCTCTATCAGAGGCGGGAAACAGGGTACTTCAAAGCAGCAGTGCCACAAAGAGCCCGTACTTTGATGTTTCAATGGGGCAGCACTGAACGGAGGCCAGGTCAGCTCTGTGCGACACTGCTTTGAAATGGTCCTGTATTATCAATATGCTTCAGGCTTTCTAGTTACGAATTCTTTGCTATAAGCAAGGGTCCTTTTTTGCTTTTCTATCCTTTAAAAGTAACATGAGCTCTCAGAATTCTTTTTCCCTATGCCAGGTTTATAGCAATGCTTCTTCAAAAGTCTTTGGGAAATATAAACTACCTCTCAGAAAACCATGCAGTGTCATATATGTTTGTCAGAGTTGTCCCAATATTGTTCAGAAAGCCGTCTTTACACAGCAAGTCAGACTATATGATCTGGTGGTCACTTCTGGCTTTAGATAATGATGCTGTTACATGAATTTTAAAGTCCATTATCCAAATTCTTCTGTGACTTTAAACTCCTCTGACTGGCGTCATAGGAAGGTGATGGTTCTACAAGAGCTATTAATTTTTACTGCACTCGTTCAAGCAATCAAGGAAACAGAAGCAGAGGTGGCCAGTGACAGGAAGCTGAGGTGCCTTTTTCTTGTCTGAGGGTAGCATTTGAATGGGGCTATTTCTTTTGAACTTTGGGGATCAAATTCAGTTTCGGGGATAACTGGAGCCCCTCCATTTGGAGTCAGTGAGAGCTCTGTGTTCGTATGCCAGGGCTGACCTTGACAGACATGTCCAAACTCAGGTAAATACAAATTTACAAGTTTTAGTGGGATTCCTTAGTGGGATTCCTTACTGTTTTACCTCTTCTAACAGTATTTTAAGGCGTCTGTTATTTATTAGCTATGAATAGGTGACAGGCAAAAACTTCTGATTTTAAATTAACACCATGATTTTAAATTAAGCTTTGAAGGCTTTCAGGACATTCATTTTGAAAATGCAGCATTCTTAAAGGTGAGCAAAGCTGCTTAAACCATCCAAAATGATGATACTTTTGTATCCTCTAACTGCAAAATGGCAAATTTAGTTTTAAACAAACTTTGTTTAAAGCAAAGAGAGACAGGGAGCAAATTTCTATTTCATATCATGTAAAATCTCGGAATTTCTCGGGGAGGGGTGGGAGAGCAAGGGAGATTCAATGCAATTTGAGGGGCTTTGTTTTCTAGTCTGTTCTTTCTATAGCTGCCTGAAATACTTCCATTAACATAGAATCATAGAATACTAGGACTGGAAGGGACCTCGAGAGGTCATCGAATCCAGTCCCCTGCCCTCAAGGCAGGACCAAATACTGTCTAGACCATCCCTGATAGACATTTATCTAATCTACTCTTAAATATCTGCAGAGATGGAGATTCCACAACCTCCCTGGGCAATTTATTCCAGTGTTTGACTATCCTGACAGTTAGGAACTTTTTCCTAATGTCCAACTTAAACCTCCCTTGTTGCAGTTTAAGCCCATTGCTTCTTGTTCTACCCTCAGAGGCCAAGATGAACCAGTTTTCTCCCTCCTCCTTATGACACCCTTTTAGATACCTGAAAACTGTTAGTGTCCCCCCTCAATCTTCTCTTTTCTAAACTAAACAAACTCAATTCTTTTACCTTTCCTTCATAGGTCATGTTTTCTAGACCTTTAATCATTCTTATTGCTCTTCTCTGGACCCTCTCCAATAGAACTGGACACAATACTCCAACTGAGGCCTAACCAGCGCAGAGTAGAGCGGAAGAATGACTTCTCGTGTCTTGCTCACAACACACCTGTTAATGCATCCCAGAATCATGTTTGCTTTTTTTTAGTAGCCCCATCCAAGCTGTATTTGCCTAGTTTATTTATAAGAATATCATGCAAGACCGTATCAAATGCCTTACTAAAGTCTAGGTATACCACATCCACCGCTTCTCCCTTATCCACAAGATTCATTATCCTATCAAAGAAAGATTGGTTTGACATGATTTGTTCTTTACAAATCCATGCTGGCTGTTCCCTGTCACCTTGCCACCTTCCAAGTGTTTACAGATTTCCTTAATTACTTGCTCCATTATCTTCCCTGGCACAGAAGTTAAACTAACTGCTCTGTAGTTTCCTGGGTTGTTCTTATTTCCCTTTTTATAGATGGGCACTATATTTGCCCTTTTCCAGTCTTCTGGAATCTCTCCCATGATTTTTCCAAAGATGATAGCTAGAAGCTCAGATACCCCCTCTATCTTCTCCTTGGCTGTGTCCAGACTGCATCCCTTTTCCGTAAAAGGGATGCAGATTAGACATATCACAATTGCACAATTGCCGGAAAAAAGCGCCAGTCTAGACGCGGATCTTTCGGAAAATAAAACCTTTTCCGAAAGATCCCTTACCCCTCATTTTTTGAGGCAAAGCTCCGAGCCGGAAAAATGCGGCAGCCATTTTTATGCTAATGAAGCAGGGGAGATTTAAATCCCCGCTTCATTTTTAATTGCAATATATCTAATCTGCATCCCTTTTACGGAAAAGGGATGCAGTCTAGACACAGCCCTTGAGTATTATAGGATGCATTTCATCAGGCCCTGGTGACTTGCAGGCATCTAACTTTTTTAGGTGATTTTTAACTTGTTCTTTTTTTATTTTATCTTCTAAACCTACCCCCTTCCCACTAGCATTCCCTATGTTAGGCATTCCTTCAGACTTCTCAGTGAAGACCAAAACAAAGAAGTCATTAAGCATCTCTGCCATTTCCAAGTTTCCTGTTACAGTTTCTCCCTCCTCACTGACCAGTGGGCCTACCCTGTCCTTGGTCTTCCTCTTGCTTCTAATGTATTTATTAAAAGTCGTCTTGTTTCCCTTCATTCTCGTAGCTAGTTTGAGCTCATTTTGTGCCTTTGCCTTTCTAATCTTGCAGCTGCATTCCTGTGTTGTTTGCCTATATTCATCCTTTGTAATTTGTCCTACTTTCCATTTTTTTATATGACTCCTTTTTTTATTTTTAGATCATGCAAGATCTCGTGGTTAAGCCAACACGGTGTTTTGCCATATTTTCTATCTTTTCGACGCAGCAGAATAGCTTCCTTTTGGGCCCTTAATAATGGCCCTTTGAAAAACTGCCAACTCTCCTCAGTTGTTTTTCCCCTCAGTCTTGATTCCCATGGGACCTTAGTTATAAGGGCTATTTAGGGGCTATTTAAATTATTTTTTGATCCTAGAAACATTGGCCTCTAATTTTAGTCTGTGAATAAAAGGTATAACTGATCCAAAAAGTTGAAAATGGAAATAAGAACGTAAAGATTCTTGTTCCATGAACTAGGAGAAAGTAAAGAAGCTATAGAATCATTTATAGCATTGGGCCACATCTATACGTACCGTGCTGGAGATCTGTTTTCCGGTGTTCTATTTAGCAGGTCTAGTTAAGACTCGCTAAATTGAATGCTGAGGAGAGTCCTGTTGGCACTGGTACTCCTTGCAGTTGTAAGGAGTTAGGGAAGCCAGGAGAAGCAAATGCTCCTGTCAGCCTTCCTCTGTGAATAGAGTGCCAACGTCCGCTTAAGGTAAGCCTTTTCCAGGTATGTATTTAACATTGCTGGAGTTGCGTATTTTAACTCAACCTTCCAGATTTAGTGTAGACCTGATCTTAGAGGGAAGGAATGGGCTAAATCCTGGGATGTGGCTGCTGAGCAAAATCAGTGGTGAAGCTGGTACAAGTGCATTGGTATCTATGGGCAAAAACAAAAGCCCAGTATTCTCACTAATCAGTAACCTGGAGGCTCAGTTATTGTTTGCCTTTGTTTCTACTTTGAGAAATGCATTTGGGAGTGAAGAATAAATGTGCTTACAAAGTGAATCACATAGGGTGTGTTTTGTAATTCATTTTACAAAGCCCTTATGGCTTTGTTTTGCTTTTTTATTTTTACAGCAACGGAACTGTGGGGATTTTTGTGGTGAGTTAAGGAAAAAATCACAACAAACCTGCATATCTGACTACTTTACACAGTTTTAGCCAAAAGCAAATATTTATGGCAAGGCTAACATAGGAATATTATTTGAAATGTTCGTTCACAAAAATATTAACGTACCTGTAACATTCAAGCTACTGTGTCACACTAGTTACAAGCTAATGACAGATTAATTAAGTTCTACCCACCTTTAGGTTTATGATATCTAAATTGCCTGATGGTGCATTTTATGGTCAGGATGTCATGACCTACATTACGGGACCAGATTCCAAAGATGGTTGTTTTGGGTTTGTTTGGGTATTTTGCCTCTCTCTTTTTCAGAAGGTTCTGATCTGATAACTGTATGTCGGATTGGTTTCCATAGGGCTGGGAAGGAGCTCGGCGGTCCATGATAAGTGACAGCCCAGAATTATTAACTCAGTACTATGATGATGCAAGGACAATGTATGAAGTATTTAGAAGGGGATTTAACATATCTGGTAAGTTATGATGATGGGTAAAGATCATTGACTTGTCTAAAACCCTACTGGCCTTCAATGCTACTATCCCAGCCCTGGTCAAAGGTTAGAATTGGGTCTCCTGTCTTTGGAGGAAATGGCTACATGGTACTGGAATTTAATCTTGCTTGCAGTGAAGTCAATGAGAACTTTGCTGTTGACTAAGACTGGGCCTTTCTGGTTAGTGAAGTAATTGGCCAAAAAATAGGTCCACTGTTTTGTTTTTATCAGAATAATCAGCTTCTCAATGACAGAAACCAGCATACAATCACGAAAGCCCTTCACAGGCTACAGCAAGCATGGAAGCCATGGTATTTTTTCTGAAGTGGGGAGTGTGGGTGAATCTCCAAAAATGGCAAAATGACTAACCCTAAATCCGTTTGGCTCTCAAACATTTAAATCACTTTGGCGATCTAGAAGATACTTTATCCTGCGGCCATCATTTAATCTTAGGCACCTAAATGCATATTTAAGTACCTGAGCATGTGCAGCTCCTCTGGCAGTGCAGCTCCTCTGGCAATGTCTGGAGTTCCACATGCAGCATGCTTGAAAAATTATACCTGCTTGGGAAATGACTGAAATTTTTCAGCTGCATAGCTTAACAAGTGAACTACACTCCTTCCACAGTTGATCTTTCTCAGTGGATCCACATCTGACACATTGTATTGTAAAAAGTGTTGTTTTTATTGTCTAGGGATAAACCAGTGGCTAAAGCTTAGAGGGAACAGAAAGAAGAAACAATGCATCTATCCTACAGGAATTAAACTAAAGGGAGCAAGCAATAAATTGCTCTCTGGCCTCAGTTGATACTAATTTTGTAGTTTGAAATGTCCTCGAGGGCATCATGTTAGTGTTACTAAAAATTACAGTTGATACAAATCCTGCCAACTGCTGGGTAGAATTATTAAGCATTTGTTGTCTGCATTCATTTATATGAACTGTGATGTTCTTTTTGGTAGGGCAGGACTGGTCCAGTGAATAGGGCACAAAGAGTAAGGGAGGGTCTGAATAGTTCCAAGACTCCTAAGGGATGTCTTTGTCATCCTCTTAAGTCACAGCTTTTCCTGTCAAAACCTTGCAAAGACACAAAAGGAGCAATGAGGAGGAAAGAACCTGAAAAGGTTTTGACCTTTTATTAGGCCAGGCCTACACTTATAGGGAACAACAAATGAAGATTTGCAACTCCAACTACGCTAATTACGTAGCTGGAGCCAATGTACCTTGTTTCATGTTTCCCTGTCATTCCCACAGTGGGAGGTCAATGGGAGTAAATACTTCCATCAGCTTCCCTTACTCCTTGCATAAGCTGGAGTGCCAGCAGGGCACCCTCTGAGTTCAATTTAGTGAATTTTAACTAGACTCGCTTAAATCAACTCCGGAAATTCGCTGCTGCTGCAATCGATCTTCTATTAAGTGTAGACATGATCTTAAAGAAGAATTTGGAAAGACAGGTCCAGATTAGGGATGTTAAATTTTGATTAATCAACTAATCGATTAGTCAATAAGGAGGGCGCTTGCTCCCCAATGGCTCTTATACATTTCAAAGGAAGAGACGCAACAGCAGGGATGCCTCTGCCTCCCACAGAGACAGTGCAGGGGGGACCCAGCTTTTGAGCCAGCTCCCCACAGCATGGGCTCCTGGTCCCCTTCTCCCCCTGTCTCTCTCTGATAGAGGCAGCCAGGGGGAGGAGCAACAAGTTGAGTGACTACTTGACTATCTGATAAGCTTTATGGTTTTCAGATAGTGATAGAAATGTAGCCGTGTTAGTCTGGTGTAGCTGAACCAAAATACAGGACTAACAAGATGGTTTATTAGATGAGCTTTCGTGGGCCAGACCCACTTCCTCAGATCAAATAGTGGAAGAAAATAGTCGCAACCATATATACCAAAGGATACAATTAAAAAAAAATGAACACATATGAAAAGGACAAATCACATTTCAGAACAGAAGCGGGATGCGGAGGGGGGGGGGGAAGGAAGGTAAATGTCTGTGAGTTTGTGAATCTTGGGGCACTACAGCACTCGGTCGGTGAGTTTGCACCCCAGGGATCGGCAGGGTATGGCCTTCCCACTACATCACACCATATATACCTATTTTTTAGACTTTTTTCATTGTATTCCTTTGGTATATACGGTCATGCCAATTCTCTTCCAGAATCAGATCAAAGGAAGTGGGTCTGGCCCACGAAAACTCATCACCTAATAAACCATCTTGCTAGTCTTTAAAGTGCTACATAGTCCTGTATTTTGTTTCAGCTTTTCAGATAGTCGCCTAATTGCTTATATCCCTAGTCCTGATAAGGTGGGTTTTGAGTCCGATGGGTCTGAAACTGGAAGCTGTGAATTCCAGAGTCCATATCCCAGCTCTAACATGGATCACATGAGGCCTGAATTCTTAAATTCTGTTTCTCAGTTTCCCCTTCTGGATATAATACACTGGTCTTGAACTCTGCCGAAGTGTTAACACTGCTTTGTTTTGTTTTTTGTTTTTGTTTTTGTTTTGTTTTTTAAACTGCACCTGAAGTTTAAGGCAAAAAAAATGTAAATACATGAATAACTTTTAAAGTGATAAGATGAGGAGGAGAAGAAGACCAGGAACAGGAGTGTGAGAGAGGGAGTTGTAGAGGATGTCATGTATGAACTATGTGAAAGGAATGCATGTAAGTGCGCCAGTTTTAGTCAGAATCCTGTGAACTGCATGATGGAATTTGCCTCAGAAAATCTCTGCTCTGGTCTATGATAAGGAGTTATTTCGAAATAATTCCCTTTATTTAAAAATAACAAGCAAAGCATCCACACTACCAACCTCATAAGGGGTGGTTATTTTCAAATAATAACTCCTGCTTTCCACGGGGAATAATGCTAATTTGAAATAGTTATTTCAAAATAGTGGTGATGTGGATGTTTCACTGCTGCTATTTCAAAATAACCACTCCACAGTCATTCAAAGTTATTACTCCCCAGTGCATCCTGAGGCTCTAAGTTGAGATTGTGTGCCCACTTTAGGAGAGCCTGCCTTACACTAATTTTGAGGCTTCCCTGTAATGTGCACATGCTATTTCAAAATAGTTATTTTGGCAGTTGTTATTTTGCAGTAAATTATTTTGAAATAATTTCCTAGTGTAGACATGCCCTCATATGGCAAAATTGTGCCTTGAAATCTCAGAACTAACTCAATAGTATCCTTCCAAGTATAAATCGGCATAGCGATGCTTGCCTAAGTCTGCAGACAGCCTAAAACAATAGCTTGGCGAGGTATGTGTGATCTTGCTCTTATATGTGAGATGTTAACTTTGAAACCTAATCATGATAGATTAAATGGCAATACTGGTAATTAATCATTTAGCAGGAATATACAGTAAATGAGTCCCGCAATCCTTAATTGCCTCCCACAGCTTCTGAGATGTTAAATCCTGCACAACTTTTTCAATACAATATTTTGTATTTAATTGAAAATTAAATGGACAGGCACGGTAAATTGAATTACGTTCAGTATAAAATTAAATGAGACCTGAAACATTCTCTATTAAATGCAATTTAGCCTTCATATGTCACATGTATTGGAAGTTTTCTGAGCATTTCCACTCTGGTACCTGACGTGTGTCATTATTTATTATTATTTGTATTTTTTGGACCAGGACCCCATAGGCTACCAAAATAGAGAACTCTATAATAATGGGGGATTTTAATTACCCCCATATTGACTGGATGCATGTCACCTCAGGAAGAGAAGCGGAGATAAAATTTCTCAATGGCTTAAATGACTGCTTCTTGGAGCAGCTGGTGCAGGAACCCACAAGGGGAGAGGCAATTCTCGATTTAGTCCTGAGTGGAGTGCAGGATCAGGTCCAGGAAATAACCATTACAGGACCGCTTGGGAATAGTGACCATAATATAATAACATTTAACATCCCTGTGGTGGGAAGAACACCTCAGCAGTCCAGAACCCTGGCATTTAATTTCAAAAAGGGGAATTACACAAAAATGAGGAGGTTAGTTAAACAGAAATTAAAAGGCACAATGACTAGAGCCAAATCACTGAAAGCTGCATGGAAACTTTTTAAAGACTGGTGTCTTTATGTATACCCCAATTAAAAAACATAGCAAGAGACCTAAAAAAGAGTCACCGTGGCTTAACCACCACGTAAAAGAAGCAGTGAGGGACAAAAAGGTATATTTTCAGAAGTGAAAGTTCAATGCTAGTGAGATAAATAGAAAGGAACAAGTGTCAAATCAATCTGTCAAATCAAGTGTAAAAATGTAATAAGAAAAGCAAAAAAAGATTTTGAGGAACAGCTAGCCAAAAACTCAAAAAGAAATAACAAAATGGCTATGTCTAGACTGACCACAAATTCCGGAAAAGGGATGCAAATCAGGTAAGTCAGCATAGGGAAATCCGCGGGGGATTTAAATATCCCCCGCAGATTTAAATAAACATGTCCGCCGCTTTTTTTCTGGCTTGGGGAAAAGCCGGAAAAAAAACGTCTAGACTTGAAAGTAGGAATAAGAGATCCTCCGGAAAAGGGCTTTATTCCGGAGGATCGCGCCAGTCTAGATGCTTTTTTTCCGGCTTTTCCCCAAGCCGGAAAAAAAGCGGCGGACATGTTTATCTAAATCCGCAGGGGATATTTAAATATCGGTGTTTTGTACCCTATCCTTTAAATCGGCTTCCGTACCTAATGACTGGAAGGTAGCCAATGTGACACCAATATTTAAAAAGGGCTCTGGAGGCGATCCTGGCAATTACAGACTGGTAAGACTAACTTCAGTACCGGGCAAATTAGTTGAAACAATAGTAAAGAATAAAATTGTGAAGCATGTAGAAGAACATAATTTGTTGGACGAAAGTCAACATGGTTTCTGTAAAGGGAAATCATGTCTTACTAATCAATTAGAGTTCTTTGAAGGGGTTAACAAGCATGTGGATAAGGGGGATCCAGTAGATATAGTATACTTGGATTTTCAGAAAGCCTTTTATAAGGTCCCTCACCAAAGGCCCTTGTGTAAATTACATGGCCATGGATAAGAGGGAAGGTCCTTTCTTTGATTGAGAACTGGTTAAAAGACAGGAAACAAAGGGTAGGAATAAATGGTAAATTTTCAGATTGGAGAAGGGTAACTAGTGGTGTACCCCAAGGGTCAGTCCTGGGACCAATCCTGTTCAGATCATTTATGAATAAAGTTGGAGAAAGGGGTAAGCAGTGAGGTGGTAAAGTTTGCGGATGATACCAAACTGTTTAGGATAGTCAAGACACAAGCAGACTGTGACGGACTCCAAGAAGATCTCACCAAACTCAGTGATTGGGCAGCAAAATGGCAAATGAAATTTAATGTGGATAATTGTAAAGTAATACACATTGGGAAAAATAACCCCAACTATATGTACAGTATGATGGGGGCTAATTTGGCTACGACAAATCAGGAAAGGGATCTTGAAGTTATCGTGGACAGTTCTCTGAAAACTTCCACACAGTGTGCAGCGGCGGTCCAAAAGGCAAATAGGTTGCTAGGAATTATTAGGAAAGGGATAGACAATAAGACACAAAATATCTTACTGCCCCTGTATTAAAACTATGGTACGCCCACATCTTGATTACTGTGTACAGATGTGGTCTCCTCACCTCAAAAAAGATATTTTGGCCTTGGAAAGGGTTCAGAAAAGGGCAACTAAAATGATTAGGGGTTTGGAACGGGTCCTATATGAGGAGAGGTTAAAGCAACTGGGAGTTTTCAGTTTAGAGAAGAGGAGACTGAGGGGGGATATGATAGAGATATATAAAAGCATGAGTGGTGTGGAGAGGGCCGATAAAGAAAAGTTATTTATTAGTTCCCATAATAGAAGAACTAGAGGACACCAAATGAAATTAATGGGGAGCAGGTTTAAAACTAATAAAAGAAAGTTCTTCTTCACGCAGTGTGTAGTCAACCTGTGGAACTCCTTGCCAGAGGAGGCTGTGAAGGCTAGGACTATAATAGAGTTTAAAGAGAAGCTAGATAATTTCATGGAGGTTAGGTCCATAAAAGGCTATTAGCCATGGGAGAAAATGGTGTCTTTGGCCTCTGTTTGTCAGAGGCTAGGGATGGCAGGCGACAAATCGCTTGATCATTGTCTTCGGTCCACCTTCTCTGGGACACCTGGTGCTGGCCACTGTCGGTAGACAGGATACTGGGCTAGATGGACCTTTGGTCTGACCCAGTACAGCCGTTCTTATGTTCTTAGTGCTAAGCGCTGTGCAAACATAGAACAAAAAGGCCTGCCCCAAAGAGGTCACAATCGAAGTATGTAGGCTCCTGGCCCCAGAACTCATGGGGGCCCTGCTGTGATTCTTTTGGACTTGAAAACACACGTGAGCTTTATTCTGAAATGGTTAGTGTTTGAATGCCAGAACCCTCAACAGAATAACTGCTGTGTATGATACAGTGTGCTACTCTGGGGATGAGACCTATGTGAGTATCTAAGCAGATATGGAGATTCTAGGTGGTGGAAGTATGGGAAGAAAGGCAATTTAACACTTTGAGTGTTGCTCTCCTCTTTTTCTCCCATACTTTTCCTCCAGAGAGGTGCATTTTCATTAGGAAGAGTTTTGACTTCCTGAGGCTTCATTGAAAGGGCAGCAACCCAGCCTGTGGGAGGTGACATTTAGGATGAAAGACACAATGTCTTAGGGAAAAGTTGGTTTAACTGGGCAGTGGATCTATTAAAAGCTATCCCCATCTTTGCTATTTTGAATGAAGGCTCAAAATGGCCCATAATCAAGTGCCCAATTACACAGGGCAGTCTTCCTTTTTAATGTGGTAGCACTCTGTGTGAACTCTGCCTCAGAGAAACATGCATTGACCTTGATCATAACAATGGTTGTATTTTAGAGGAACTTCCTCAGGTGCTCAGGATGCTATACACTCACTAGCCCTTGGTCCTAAGACCCCCCCATAACTTTGTAATCTGTTTATTTTGTTTAGAGAATGACCCTTGTCTAGGATTCAGAAAGCCCAAGCAGCCTTACAAATGGTTGTCGTATAAAGAGGTGAGGTTACCCTGAATCTTTCTTTCATCAATATTTCTTCTCCTTTCTGTCTAAACATAGCTGCTTTTAAAAGAACCCTACTAGTGCTGTGCTGGGAGGGCTGTGAATAGATTATCTTACCGTGTGTGTGTGTGTGTGTGTGTGTGTGTGTGTGTGTGTGTGTGTGTGTGTTTGTTTAATTTGAGCCAGGATCTTCCCAGATGCTGCACGCCTTCTGGTGGCTATTATAACCTCTCTTCACATCATGTTGGCACTTTGCAGGGTTGGGGGTTGAGTGTACACTACCAGTAGGATTGTTTTACATGGCATCTCTCTCTATGGAGAATTACAAACCCTGAGTTGAACCCTGATGGCTTTGCCCATGGAAATAGTTTTGCTGACTTCAGTGGGCACGCTCATGGAAGGTGCACAGATTTGATGTGATGTGATTACTTTGCCTCACTCCCCACTGAAAATCAGCCACTTCTGGGTGGAGTAGGCAGGTAATGTGCTCAAAGTAGTACACATGCTGCAACAAATAAAACTATTGATTAGCGCTCAGACCAGAAATAAAGAACAGCATAACAATTGCAGGAGATGGAGAGTTTTAAATAAGCAGCCAAGACACTAGAATTGAGGACAAATAATATTGTAAGCTCTTTAATGGCTAGAGGGTTTCAGGGGGTAGGTGTATTTGTCCGTAACTGTAACAACCATGAAGAGTCTTCTGGCACCTTAAAATAGGGATGTGAAAGGTTAACCAGCAAGCATCACCTTTAAAGCCCCATTCACTTTTTTCCCCTTTTCTAGGTCGCTGAAAGAGCAGAAGCTTTAGGATCGGGGTTAATCCAACAGGGATGTAAACCATCAGCAAGTCAGTTCATTGGGGTCTTTGCACAAAACCGTCCAGAGGTGAGATGTTGTTGTAACCTCTTGCAGAATGAACATTATTAAGTTTTGATCTCACTTTAAATTTTAATCTCATTAGGTGTTTTAATCACTCCCTTTCCTTACTCCTTTTCTCTTGTAACATCTCCTTCCAGTGGTTCATTTCTGAGCTGGCTTGTTATACCTATTCCATGGTGGTGGTCCCCCTCTATGACACATTAGGCCACGGAGCTATTCGTTACATTATCAACAAAGGTAAAACCAGACAAGCATAAATACTATTAAGTGTACGGTTTTCGAAAGTCATTCTTTTAATGCAGAATGATGGACTTCTCTTCTGCTTTCCTACATGCAGATGCTTTGGCACAGTAAATCATTTTGGCTGGATTATATAGTGTATCTTTATGTATCATGGCAGAATGGCTTTAGTATTCTGAAATGATCTGTAATGGATAAGCTTTATACATTTCCAGCCACGCATTGTCTTGCAACTTGTTCTATTGCTGAACTGAGTGTAGTGTTTAAGTGTCCTGAATCTGTGATACATTTTCCCCTGCAACAACATTAGCCCATTTCTGCATAGTTTGTTTTAATGACAAATGCTAACAGTGATCTATCATATGCTAACCTTACTTTATGCATGTATTTTACTTTGAACATTATTTGAAACTTAACATTGCACCCGTCTTACTGATTTCCTGGCTGGCAGGGTAAAGTCTATTCTGTAATAAACTTCCCATAAAAATTAGTCTCTCCTTTCAAATAGAATTTTAAGGTTTTAGAGTCCCATTCCTGCAAAGCACTTAAAAGCACATGCTTAACTTTGAGCATTTGAGCCAATGGGGACAACTCACAAGTGTAAAGTTAAGCCCTTTCTTCAAAATTTGCAAGATCAGGGCTTAGGAGTTTGAGCAAAATATTAAGATTTTATCTTGTGACCAAAAGCTGAACACAAGTTGTACAATTGTTTTGCAGGACTTGTCAGAGCTGTACTAAATCAAAAGCAGAACAGATTTTTAGTTGTATCTAACTTTATTTCCTATCTGAAAGAGAATTATGGACACATTGCTTTCTCATAAGGTAGTTTGTATAAAAATCATTTTCTTTAAGACTTCTGGAGACTTGTTTGATTTATATTTTTAAAGAATGAGCCAGCTGGTGCAAACTGTCAATTTACAATTAATGGCTGATACAAATTGAGGATTAAAAGTTTTAGTCTGTAACTGTTACCGGAAAAACAACATAGTCTTGCAGCATCCTAAAGACGAACAAAAAATGTAGATGGTATCATGAGTTTCCATCTGAAGAAGTGGGTTGTGCACACGAAAGCTCATGATACTATCTACATTTTTTGTTAGTCTCTAAGATGCTGAAAGATTATTTGTTTCCAAGTTGAGGATGTATTTATTACTTTTTTTTAAAAAAAGTCCTTTCTCTTTTTATGGCCTTTCTTTCCACTGAGTCATATATGTTGCACAGATGGCTGATTCCTACGGAGGTCAGCAAGAACTTTTTTTTTTATGGACTTCACTGGGACCAGGGGTTTGGCCCAGGATGCATTTCAACTTGAAGAGAGCTTTGCTGTGATTTCTGTGGCTGTAAGATAGCTCAGATCATAACAGCAGCCAACCACTGACCATTCTTCCTGCTGGGATGATATCTCAGTGCTTCTAAAAGTGTGTTTTATCATTCTGGATTTGAGTGTCTAACAAGCTTTTCATACCATTCAGGTTTATTATTTCCTGCAGTTTTTAATATTTTTTAATTGAATCTTAAAATAATTGTAGCTGTCAGTCTGACCCTCTTTTGCTGCAAATCAATATCTGCCTCATCGCTCTTTCAGTTTCAGAAACAGTAGTATACTCTGCTTTAGGGATGTAAAGGCATAACCGGTTACCCAGGAAGCATCACCCTTAAGCTCTGGGCTTGCTATGCCATGGGCTGGGAGGCTGCTCTGGCCAGGCCAGGCCTGTCACGCCATGAGCTGCTTCAGCCAGGCTGGGCCACTGGTTAACCAGTAAACATCACCTGGTAAGATTAAACACATAGTGTTTAACCTGTTTAATTTTTTAAATGACAGTTTGCATCTGTACCGTGTTCAGTGTTGATTTACAAGTTACTAAGGTTAAATACTAAAATGCACTTGTTTCCTAAGTGAAAAATATATATTCTATTCCAAGATCTCATGGCATAAATATACGACTGTCAAAGACTGATGCGCAATAACTGTGAAGCTGTAGCTAGTGTTACATATAAGTAAAAAAAAATGTTTTTGTTTTTTAGCTGATATTTCCATAGTAATTTGTGACAAAACAGAAAAAGCCAGAGTCCTCTTGGATCATGTGGAGAAAAGGGAGACACCAGGCTTAAAGTCTATTATTCTGATGGATCCTTTTGAGAACGACCTAATGGAAAGAGGGAAAAGATGTGGTGTTCACGTCCAATCCATGCAGGAAGTAGAGGTGAAGTTCCTATCCCTCTTGTTTAATGTTAGACCCAGAAATGATCAGCTCCGATATTATTTGATGGCAATCCAGGAGATGGCTGTTCAGATAAAACAAGAAGTTGCTTTTCATTGATAGTTTGTTACTAGTAGGCATGTTGATCAGCTTCTTTTCACTTTTACATTGGATTGTATATATGTTTTAGGTATCTTTTCCAAAGGTTTTGCTGCAACTAAAGCTTGTTCCAAACCAGATCCTGTAGAGATGTCAAGGCAGGATTTCCCTGCTCTTCTTTTTCTTCCTTTCTGTCTCCTGTTTCCTTGGTCATTTACAGTTTTTAACAGGCACATTAATCTGCATAGGTTAGAATTAAAATAATTTTGTTAATATTCTTTCAGAATTGTGGCCGTGAGAATCCACATGCCCCAGTGGTGAGTCCAGTCATTTTCTCCAAACTTTAACCGTGCAGTTACTTGAAACAAAATAATTTGCCAGAGTGTGGAGAACATCTCCACTCTGTGTATACGTTCATTAAATATAGTGGAATAGTCCTCAGTAGGAGGTGACTGACAATGAAGGATCCTAAAGATTCTCCCCTATCTTCCGCTAATAGCAAATGAGATTCACTACTCAGCCTAAGATGCATGTTATTGTCTTCATAATGATATCCCCTGAATGCTTAAATATAACTTCAAGACATAAACCCCAGGAAGGAACGACAGAGGATGAGATGAACGAGGTGTTCTTTAAAGAGTGTTTTGTGACTTTAAAGTGTGAGAATAAGTAGAGAAGATTAAATGAGCCATCTTCAAAAACTGACTTTAGAATAGATTTCAGACTATATCAATTTAGTAATGTCTTTTATAAAAGGCAGTTCAGCTACAATTCAATAAACAGGCCACATAAAAACACAGTAATAATTATTAATGGCTCTAGTTAAGACATCTCTATTGCTAATCAGAAAAAAAAGAAACCTCTCAGATTAGATTCCTGTAGGTTCATTTGGGTCCACTTACAAACCCAATCTCTAACCCTCATTTGAGAACTCCATCCAGCCCCAACCCTAATCCTTGTTCATGTCTGCTAACTGGTCTCATCCTTAACTCTTGCCCCAGCCTGATTCCTAACTCAAACCTTAATAATATTGGCCCACCTACTCAGGGTCGTAACAAGGGCGCATAGCTGAGGGAGTGCAGAAAAGACTGCTACTATGCTGTCTTCGCTCATGCTTCGTGCCATGTCAGTATCCCCACCTGCGCTGAGGATGGTCTTGCCTCGGGTGCCATTTTAGCTAGTTAAGATGCTGCATCTATTATCCTAAAAATAGACAAGGCTCTCCAGCATGCCCTCTATTGTAACCCTTAATTCTTAACTTTCACCTGCAGTGTGATTCTACACCATTCACCAATCCACCTCAATCTTCTGGCTAACTGGTGCCCATCAGATAGCCCCAACCTTACAGCTATCTGAAGAGTACAGGATCTTTCAAAAAGTTTTTGTTTTTAAAGAACCACGTCTAGATGGCGGTTTCACTTTTAAAAAGCCCTTTTGAAAGAACATGCAGCTGCTGTTGTTCAAATGAAGCATAGGAAAATTCAAATCCCAGCTTAATTTGCAATTTCAATCTGTCTAATTTACATCCCTCATTCAAAAGAGAGATGTAGTCTAGACATGCCCTTATACCTTCATTTCTTCTCAGGAAAAATCAGGAGTTTTACCTGTGCATGCAACAGGACTGTACCCTAAATCATTAACTCAGCCTTTGTGATTTCAATATGGATATTTCTAAATCTTTTTCTTATAAAAGACAGATAACCGATCTCTGTGAATTGCCTTCTCTATTTAAAAGGAAGAGACTTGTGATGTATTTGAGGATATGGAACAACTTTCATTCTTTTATAAGTGGCCCTTTACAATAGAGCCTAGTGGTAAAAACCCCAGTCCTTTATTAGTTTCCCATAATCTTTTTATCTTCCTTTTTCTCTTGTATGATTCCTGAATACTTAGTCCTGCAAATCAGACTACGTGCTATTATTCTGATGTAATACCTAAGAGCAGAACTGCCTTTTATTCAGCTCCTGTCCTTGTTTCCAGGACAACCTCCCAACAAGGAAAATCTGTCCTGAGTTCACTGATACCCCCTATTTCCTTGACACTTCCATTTAAAATGCTCAGCATATTGTCACTAACCATGCTGGGAGTCAAAAGGCATTGTTTGGACTACAGCTCTTTCTTTCACGTTAGGGGGAGGGTTCTCATAGAGTAAAAAAGGGACAGATCCTACAAACACTTACACATGTATGGGGTTTTTTTTAGAGGTCTTCTTGATATGCTGTAGGACTTGACCCTAAAATAGCTATTGCAGAACAGGATTCATGTACTGACAGAAGCCATCTTCATGGTGTTGGTGACACTGTCTAATTTTATACTCCATAGTATGTCAACTCAGAGTAAATGTTCCTTAGGAAACAAAACCGTAACCAGAAAGGCCAATCACAATGGGTGACTGTCACCCATTATCTTCTGATCTAGTGGAAGAGGATGTGTGTCATCCCTGCAGAGCCAGCTGTGCATAGCATGATTTAATTCTAATAAGTACTACTGATTTAAATGATGATTAGCAAAGTTTACCCAATGGCTGCGTCTAGACTGGCATGATTTTGCGGAAATACTTTTAACAGAAAAGTTTTTCCGTTAAAAGTATTTCTGCAAAAGAGCGTCTAGATTGGCAAGTGCCTTTTGTGCAAAAGATGTGCTTTTGCGCTAAAGCATCCGTGCCCAGTATAGACGCGCAAGAAAGCTCCGATGGCCATTTTAGCCATCGGGCTTTCTTGCGCAAAAACTTAAGGTGCCTATCTATTCTTGCGCAAGAGGGCTTATCCCTGAGCAGGAGCGTCAAAGTATTTGCGCAAGAAGCCCTGAATTCTTACATTAGAACGTCAGTGCTCTTGCGCAAATTCAAGCTGCCAGTGTAGACAGCTGGCAAGTTTTTGCACAAAAGCAACTGCTTTTGTGCAAAATCTTTCCAGTCTAGATGCACCCAATATGTAGGAGTGCTTTCCTCCACTACTGCTACCTTTGGAGACTTGTTGTGGTTTCGGCAGCACCAGTCGGGAGCATCTTGAAAGCTGTTGAATTAGATATTAGCACTAAGAATGACCATGCTACTGCTGGGTACACTCAGTGCTAAATATTCAAAAGTAATCTTCTGGGTGTGTTTATTTTTTGGTGGCCCAAGCTGAACCACATAGGGCTTGATAGCTTATATTGCAACAGCCTTGCAGGTATCCAGATATGTGGATATTAGGGATGTTAGCTATTGGTTATGTTAGTAATCATGTATCCAAAACAATTTATATTAAATTGCTGCCCCCTGGGGGTGGGGCCAACAGTCAGTGTGCTCCTGGATCCCAGTCCCATTCCTGGGGAGCCCCCCCCACTACCCTATGTTGCTGCCCGGAGGACAGAGGCTGCTCCGGTATCCCACTTACCCCCTTATTCTTTCCCTTTCCTATTTATTTCGAGCGTTCACATCCCAAACTCATAACTCCAGTCATCTGAAGAACTGGGCTGTGCCCATGAAAGCTCATGATATGATCTACATGTTTTGTTAGTCTATAAGGTGCTACCAGACCATTTGTTTTTTTTCTGTAACAGACTAAATCGGCTATCCCTTGAAGCTCCTGATAATTATTTGTTAGTTGTTTAAACGACTATATGCTAACATCCTTTGTGGATATCCACGGCGTATTTTTACAGATACAGATGTAGATACAAATTTGGTATCTAGGACTCTGCAAATTTGTGGATATCTGCTTTATATCCATAGGTATCCACATCTGCAAAAATGAACCGCAAATATCTGCAGATACAGATGAGGTTTGAATTTTGTATCCATGCAAGGCTCTATATATAGCACTCACTGATCCTAATGACTTCAATTACAGATAGCATCAGTCAACAGTGAAAACTAGGACTCAGGTGTCTCAAACTGGGCTTCCAAAAACTAAGGCACCTAGATATTTTAACATATTAGCTGCATTGTCAGAGCAAGGCTGGAGGCATAGTAGAAAGAAACCCGAAAGAAATATTTTACAGATAAACATGCTGAGGTTTTGGTTTTTTTCTACAATCATGTTGTCTGCATGCATTTGGTCCTTGTGGGCATTCATAAAAATGCCTGTACGTTTTTAGAATGAATGAGCATTCAGCCAGAAATTAAAACAGTATTTGTTGCTGTTGTTAATAAAAAAGTTTATCATCCAGTTAGGAACCCAGAAAAAAAATGCCATGTGACTTAGGAGACCCAACGCATGACACAAATAAAAAATAGAAATTATTGTTTTCAAACAACTCGTGTATATAGTATTCGTCCCCAATGTTAGACACTCATGAATAACAAATACAGATGAAGACAATCAGGATCTGTTAGCAAATGATTTCCTAACCCCCCCAAGAGGCCAAATGCTTACATATTATTTTAAACCAGTAGTTCAAATAGCTGTTATACAGAAGCTTAAGAACTGTGTGTGTGTGGGGGGGGGGGGTTCATTAGGCTGGAGTAAAGCATATTATAAGGAATCAAGGATCTTGCATGATGAATTAGTCACACTAAAGCACATTCCCTTAACACACCTAAACCTTGGGGGGAAAAGAAAGAAAGTAGTCCAAATGGACAAATGTACCAAAGGAAAATTACATGTTGTGCTTTTTGCAAGCTTCAAGGAAAGAAATCTAAATGACGGGGTTGCGATATGATCTATTTAATAATGAACTGAGCACAAAGGCTAATGATACAAAGCTGTGCCTATAATTTTCCTGTTTTCTTTGTGCATTTCTAGCCTCCTCACCCAGAAGATCTGTCGATTGTCTGTTTTACTAGCGGCACTACAGGTAACAGAACAGGCATTTTAATCTTAATACATTACATTGGACTACAAAATCTCTCTGAATAACAGTTCACCATCTATAAACACAATCTAGCACTGTCATGTATAAAACAATCTTTGTTTTATGCCTAATAAATGTGTGTGAAACATACAAATGTATATAAAGTTATAATTAAAAACCAAATACACTGACATAAAAACAATTTTTTTTGCAGATTCTTAAATCTATTTTGGCAGAATGATTTTGCAAGAATATGAAAATAGTCTGTCAGTTGGATCTTTTGTTTTAAAAAAATCTGCAGATTGGGAGGGAAAAGAGCATATCTGATATTTATTTCCAGTAGCACCAGAAAAGCATAACACTTTATGATAGAAAGGCAAAAATAGAAACCTAGAGCCAGTCTTCTTGCAAGAGTTCTTCAAGCATTGGTGTGAATTCATATCACATCATGCAACAGTTATCTGGGGATCTGGAACACAATCCGGAAATGCACCTTAGTCCTGAAATACTGTTTGAAATATCTGTCTTTTGTCCACATCTGTATGCTCTTGGGGTTGTCTGTCACTTTGTACTGCCCACTAGTGTCCTCAAAATGGCTTCTTTTCTGGTAGCCATGAAAGAATCATCAATTGAAACTGAACAGCCTTGTGCTAAGTTACCTCTCAAGAACTGAATGGCTTGCTCCTTGAAAAACAGAATGTAGGCTGAACAAGAGGCTAGGTCAGGGATACTCAACATGCGGGTGCATTTGTTTGCGGCCCATGGTGCAGTTTGGGTTTATGTGGGGCTCAACATGTGGCCTGCGGGTGGGATCCTTTGAACATGGCCTCCACTGGGAACATGCTCCACAACGGCAGGCGGGGTGAGCATGGAAAGATGCAAGCAGATGGGCTGGCTAGAACAGACCGGAACAGGGTGTTGGCATTTCTAGCCCCTAAGGAAGGAGGTGCTGGGACATTGTGGGAGATGCTGTCTGCTTAGCCTTGTGGGCAGAGCTTGAGAGGTGCTGACTGGCTTGCACTGGCCACATTTGGGTCCAGTGCCGTGGCTTAAGGCTTAATCTTTGTATTCGTGCCCATGTGTGTGAGCAAAGCTATTTGCAACCCTCAGCATGTGCTGTGAGTATTATTGTGCCCACATGCCCCCTCCCGGGGCTTCCAAATTTGAGTAGCCTTGGTCTAGGTTATTACCTGCCATCTACTGGGGAGGACTTGTATTGCAGAATAGGAAAGTTCTTGTTCCTCTGGTCCATGTACAATATTTAATGCTTCAAGGAAATACTTTTTTCCATGCCATCATATGTGTTTTACTGTGGGAAATCCTGCCTAAAGTGTTTGCCATTGCAGAGAACGCAAACCAATGTATAAAAGGAGTTTTAGTTGTTCGCCACTGTATAGTTCTGAATGGTTCCTGGTAAAGTAAAGAGAAGTCATGGTACAGAATAAATGCCTCATGGTGAAATACATTCTAACTATTGGACAAACCACGACAAAGTCAGTGCAAATGCAGGCACTTATTTTTAGTTTAACAGCATCCATTGTACATGTGTCCCCCAGGGGTAGTGGTAAGACCACACACTACAGTGGTAGGCAGTTCAGATTGTGAACACAGATTTGCTGTGTTTTAGGCTGAGAATATTGTGGATACAGTATGCTAAGCCAGTGTATGGGGGAGGAAATCACTTCACTCTCGACAAGCAGTCCCTGGGCAACTCGGGTTCTGCACTAGGGATGTTAAATTGCAGTTATCTGACTAATCACATAGTGGATGCAATCAGGGCCATCCTTAGGCATACGCGGAGTACGCAGTCACGTAGGGCATCACACTTTCTGGGGCACCACTCTGCCAGCCTGGGACGGAGGGGAAGCATAGGCGTGCGCTCTGCACCGGAGCCAGTAGGGATGCTGACGGCCCCACCGGGCCGAGGGACTCAGGTGAGGAGGCCAGCAAGCTGACCCCGGCTGGAGAAGGGAAGCTGTCAGCGTGGGTGGCAGCATCGGGAGGAGCTGGGACTGCGCCGGGGGTGGGGTCACACACAGCGAACAGCAGGGGGCAGGGTCATGTGCGGCTTGGCATTGTGGTGCCATTTTAAAAATGGCCAAGCCGCACCTCAGCAGAAGACGCACTGAGCGGGGCGTGGGGGAGCAGAACCTTGCTAGGGCGGAACCAGCTGTGTTGTGGTGGGCCAGGGCTGCGAGCACTTAGTGGCCTGGCTCCGGCTCCGGCTCCAGAATGTGGTCTGGAGCCTGGGCTGCAGGGACTTCTGGGGCCTGATTGCAGCAGGGCAATTTTTCTATATAGGCATAGCCCTTTATTCTGGACAGGGAAGGAACAGAAAACTTGTGGAAAATTCATATAGCTCTTGGGTTCTGCCAAACTTAGGGCTTGGGCTATGTGTCAGGGCATACCTGCAAAGGAGGGGATGATGTGCACAGCCCATCTTCTAGCTCCCCCTAAACCCAAGACTTCAAAGTCTACAGGTCATCAGTAATCTGAGATCTTCCAGGGGCATGGCCCTTGTGTTTTAGTATCTATCATCTCATCATCTAGATGTCCTCCCCTACTGGAATAAGTTTGATTTCTTTGCCTGATTGATCTACGCCAGGGCTATTGTGAAGGTTGTAGTGGCCCTCGTAGACTTTTGCAACTTTAAGGTGCTTCAGTCTATGGGGTGGGAAAGTGCCTGACCTGGATTGGGTCCCATATTCATTTATATCTACTATTCCGATTTAGAATGATTGTGAAATAGAGCCAATGTCTGTAGCTTAAAACTTGGGATGTATCTATTCTGACTTGAATTCTATGGTGAACATTTGAGTTAATAACTTACAAAAATTTAAAATCCACTCCGAAGTTTACTAATAAACAACCAAGCATAAAGTGTGTGCATCTGATTCTTGGGATCAGACATACAAAATGCCTTCACAGAGGGAATAGAGAGGCTGACCCTGAGAAATGTGGAATCCAGTCAGAGGGATTCACCTACACTTTTTTTTTAAACTAAGTGTCATCAGAACTCCTACAGGAGCACGAGGCAATGGTTGTTGCTAAGGGTGTGTCTAGACTACAGAGTTTTGTCGACAAAAGTGGACTTTTGTCGACAAAACTATACCTGCGTCTACACTACCGCTGAGTTCTGTCGACATAACGTCGACAGAACTCAGCAGTTTTATCGAGGCTGGTAAACCTCATTTTACGAGGCATAACACCTTCTGTCGACAGAGTTCTGTCAACAGAAGGTGTTATTGCATGTAGGGTTGTGTCTAGACTACAGGGTTTTGTCGACAAAGCAGCTTGCCTTGTCAACAGAACTGAATGTAGTCTAGACGCTCTTTGTCGACAGAAGCTTTGTCGACAAAACCCTGTAGTCTAGACATACCCAAAGAGTGAAAATATACACGAAACATTGGCCTGCAACCGTGTGTAGTGACTGCTCTGAAAAACCACCATCAGTTTTTCAAGTACAAACCAGCGACTTATCGTCCTAGAAACCCTATCTCCAGCAGAGCCCATTAGCTGTTAATGAAAACTTTTTTTTCCTGTGGCTTTTCAATGTGCCAGTAACTCCAAGATGCTAACTTTGGAGTAAGCAATCCTTTACAGGCTCAGAAATGACACCAGATGACATTCATTCAGTGCTGGAAGGAACATTTAAACAGGAGTGTTCAGTTACATTGAAAAGATTCCTTTCTTACATATGCAAAGAGTCAGACAAGCTCCTGGCTGACATGACACATGAAGACTGTAATGTTTTGATTATTGATTAACTGACTTGAATGACTTAGCATTGTTTACACGCCTCTGCTGTACATCTGAGTCAACATGTAGTACAATCTCCAGGATATTTTGTGCTGTTATATCTGTGAGGCAAATTCAAGTAGGGGATACTTTAATTATTCAAAAAGCTGTATCACTAATAGGCTGCTGTTCCATCCAGGATGGGCCGTGGGAAACGATTTGTAGCAAAATAAACTCTGTTCTGCTAGACTTTCTGATAAATAGTCCAATTTACTAAAAAAAAAAGGGTAAAACACGCATGGCACATCTAGCTAGATCAACATAATCCCTGCAGCACTGTTTCATTCTGGAATTATTTATTGATGAAACTTCTGGTGATGAAGGTTATGAAAACAGGGATGCTGATTTCAGCTGTTACTCATATAGAAGAAGGAGGAAAGGATATCCAAAATTTCCTTCTTGCAATCAAATGGTGATGATAATGATGGTTTTGGAGCAACCTTGGCAGATGTTCTTGGATCATCTGAACATGCAGTAAAAATCTTCAGAGGCGCAATAAACAAATTCAAGTTTTGAAAGAAATGAAGAAACCATCTAATTTCCCAGGATGACTGAAGATTTCTGCCTGAGTCCTGAAAGAAAAACACTGAGTCCTGAAAGAAAGTGATATAGCTGGGATATATAATCTAGACATGTTTCAATGAGGTAATCAAACTAAGGCAATCAATCGCTGTTTTTGAAAAATAATCACAGGGACAGGTTCCTCTTGATGGCTTGAATGAGAAATGGATGAGTGGACTGGTGCATCCACAAGCTGATTTTTGAGAGGTGTTGGGTTTTGTTTTTGTTTTGTTTTTTGTTTTTTTGTTTTTTTTCTTTTTTTGCAAGAAACAGAATATAAGATAAGCAATTACTTTGTCTCCTCTGCACACATACTACTTAGCTTGGCTCACAGTATTCTCTCTGGATTCCCATGCCTCTGAGGTTGTTATTTTTTCAGTTATCACTATATTAGTGCTTTGTAAGAGAACCTGTCTTATCAGTCAAGCGTCTGCCTCAGGGCTGGCCTTGCCATGAGGCGAACTGAGGCGGACGCCTCAGGTGCCAGACACTGGGGTGGTGCCAGTAGGACCCAGAGTGTAGAAAATTGTGTCTGCTGCTGGTGCATATATATTCTCTCTGCTCTAGATGTACAGAGTTGGTGGAGTGCTGTGCTCGAGGAAGGAAGGCACAAGAGACATAACAGGCAGGCAGGAGAAAAGGTGGCATGGGGGTGTCATTTGAGCTCCCCACCTCAGGTGCCAAAATGTTGTGGGCCTGCCTGTATGACGTAGCAGTGAAACTGGGTGGCGGAGTGGCACTGTATGTGAAAGATAATGTAGAATCAAATGAAATAAAAATATTAAATGAATCAACATGTTCAATAGAATCACTATGGATAGTAATTCCATGCTCTAATAATAAGAAATTAGCAGTAGGGCTATATTACCGACCACCTGACCAGGACAGCGATACTGACATTTGAAATGCTGAACAACATTGTTGTACTCTTCTTTTTATCTCAAAACTTCAAATTGTACTGTGTTTTGCATACTGTCATGGAAAGACTGTGTTATGCAGAGGAGCTTTGGGGGGCACCCAGGTTTTCAAAGTACTTTGTACAGAATTGACTAAGCATATCAAATGCTTTGGTCAGGTCAATGAAAACAATAAAAAGTGGTTTTCTTGTTCTCTATTTTTCACTTTGGCTACGTCTACACTGGCCCCTTTTCCGGAAGGGGCATGTTAATTTCACCTATCGTAGTAGGGAAATCCGCGGGGGATTTAAATATCCCCCGCGGCATTTAAATAAAAATGTCCGCCGCTTTTTTCCGGCTTTTAAAAAGCGCCCTTTTCAAAGGAGGAATAAGAGCCTCCGGAAAAGGGCGCTTTTTCCGGAGGATCGGGGCCAGTCTAGACGCTCTTTTCCGGCTTTTTTAAAAGCTGGAAAAAAGCGGCGGACATTTTTATTTAAATGCCGCGGGGGATATTTAAATCCCCCGCGGATTTCCCTACGACGACTCATGAAATTTACATGCCCCTTCCGGAAAAGGGGCCAGCGTAGACGTAGCCAAGGGGAAGAGGCAATTCTCGATTTAGTCCTGAGTAGAGCGCAGGATCAGGTCCAGGAGAGAACCGTTACAGGACCGCTTGGGAATAGTGACCATAATATAATAACATTTAACATTCCTGTGGTGGGAAGAACACCTCAGCAGTCCAGCACTCTGGCATTTAATTTCAAAAAGGGGAATTACACAAAAATGAGGTTAGTTAAACAGAAATTAAAAGGCACAATGACTAGAACCAAATCCCTGCAAGCTACATGGAAACTTTTTAAAGATACCATAATAGAGGCCCAAAATAAACGTATACCCCAAATTAAAAAACATAGCAAGAGACCTAAAAAAGAATCACCTTGACTTAAACACCATGTAAAAGAAGCAGTCAGGGACAAAAAGGCATCTTTTAAGAAGTGGAAGTCCAATCCTAGTGAGTTAAATAGAAAGGAACATAAACACTGTCAAATCATGTGTAAAAATGTAATAAAAAAAGCAAAAAGATTTTGAGGAACAGCTAGCCAAAAACTCAAAAAGAAATAACAAAATGTTTATTAAGTACATTAGAAGCAGGAAACCTGCTAAACCGATGGGTCCCCTAGACAATCGAGATATAAAAGGAGCAATCAAGGATGATAAAGCCATTGTGGACAAACTAAGTGATTTATTTGCTTCTGCACCGTCCGTTGTGGGTGATGAATCTGAGGAACTGTCCTGGATTGAAGTGTCATTAGAGGAGGTTTTGGAACAAATAGAAAAACTTAATGTTAACAAATCTCCAGGACCAGATGGCATTTATCCAAGGGTTCTAAAAACTCAAATGGGAAATTGCTGAACTGTTATCTGTGGTTTGTAACCTATCCTTTAAATCGGCTTCGGTACCTAATGACTAGAAGGTAGCCAACGTGACACCAATATTTAAAAAGGGCTCTAGAGGTGATCCTGGCAATTACAGACTGGTAAGTCTAACTTCAGTACCGGGCAAATTAGTCAAAACAATAGTAAAGAATAAAATTGTGAAGCATGTAGAACATAATTTGATGAACGAAAGTCAACATGGTTTCTGTAGAGGGAAATCATGTCTTACTAATCTATTCGAGTTCTTTGAAGGGGTTAACAAACATGCGGACAAGTGGGATCCAGTAGATATAGTATACTTGGATTTTCAGAAAGCCTTTGACAAGGTCCCTCACCAAAGGCTCTTGTGTAATTTACACTTGCCATGGGATAAGAGGGAAGGTCCTTTCTTGGATTGAGAATAGGTTAAAAGACAGGAAACAAAGGGTAGGAATAAATGGTAAATTTTCAGAATGGAGAGGGGTAACTAATGGTGTCCCCCAAGGGTCAGTCCTGGGACCAATCCTGTTCAACTTTATTCATAAATGATCTGGAGAAAGGGGTAAGCAGTGAGGTGGTAAAGTTTGCGGATGATACCAAACTGTTTAGGATAGTCAAGACAGAAGCAGACAGTGAGGGACTCCAAAAAGATCTCACCAAACTGACTGATTGGGCAACAAAATGGCAACTGAAATGTAATGTGGATAAGTGTAAAGTAATGCACATTGGGGAAAATAACCCCAACTATACGTACAATATGATGGGGGCTAATTTGGCTACGATAAATCAGGAAAGAGATCTTGGAGTTGTCATGGATAGTTCTCTGAAAATTTCCATACAGTGTGCAGCGGCAGTCAAAAAGGCAAATAGGATGCTAGGAATTAAGAAAGGGATAGAAAATAAGACACAGAATATCTTCCTGACCCTGTATAAAACTATGGTACGCCCACATCTTGAATACTGTGAACAAATGTGGTCTCACCTCAAAAAAGATATTTTGGCCTTGGAAAGGGTTCAGAAAAGGGGCAACTAAAATGATTAGGGGTTTGGAACGGGTCCCATATGAAGAGAGGTTAAAACGACTGGGCGTTTTCAGTTTAGAAAAGAGGAGACTGAGGGGGGATATGATAGAGGTATATAAAAGCATGAGTGGTGTAGAGAGGGCGAATAAACAAAAGTTATTTATTAGTTCCCATAATAGAAGAACTGGAGGACACCAAATGAAGTTAATGGGCAGCAGGTTTAAAACTAATAAAAGAAAGTTCTTCTTCACACAGCGAGTAGTCAACCTGTGGAACTCCTTGCCAGAGGAGGCTGTGAAGGCTAGGACTATAACAGAGTTTAAAGAGAAGCTAGATAATTTCATGGAGGTTAGGTCCATAAATGGGTATTAGCCAAGGGATAGAAATGGTGTCTTTGGCCTCTGTTTGTCAGAGGCTGGAGAAGGATGGCAGGAGACAAATTGCAAGAGGTCAGAAATCCATCTCCTGCTCCTGACTGGTCCTGAACACCCGCTAGGTGTTCTCTATTATTTACTTGCTCAGAAGTATTTAATGTGCTGTCCTGACTGTGTTCTATTTGCCCAGGGATGAGAGTGCTACAGATTTTGTCAATGGCCCTGTGGCTATATGAGTCACCCAGTAATCTCCACATGTGGGGGTATTGAGGACTGTGAACACCCAAAAACATTATTCATATGGTCATGGCGTAGCCATAACTCAGAATAGAAAAGACAGTGATAGTAAGATGGTAATCTGCCAAAGAAACCTTCAAGTTAAATGCTAGTTCTAGAGATCATTCTTAACCAAAATCAAGGTGACTTTTCTGTGTCAAATGGTGTCTTGAGTAGCTGCAAAAGTAAGACTAGATCTTGAAATTCTTACTCACACAGCTCTCATATAAGTCATATGTGGGTCCTGAAGCTTAGCAGGCCTGGGATGGAAGTTTCCATCCTAACTGTACATAGCCTGGAACCCTGCAAGTACAAACAGCTGTCTGTTATTAGCTTTAACATATGTATTTGAGCTGGGAAACTACTAAGCATTAAACAGGTTTGACCTTGGTCACAGATCATAAGTGATAAGAATGGCGTTGAGCCAGTATGCGCACACCCGGTAAACATCTGTAACTAGTATAGGGAGCCCTGTGCCCGTTGAGACTCACCAGGGACCTAGACCTTGGAGGATGCCCTGGATTCCCTTAGCTGAAGCCACATCCACTGCAGCCTGATGCAAGGTGACAGGAATGGGACTCCCCACAGACTGAAGGGACGTAAGCATTTCTAAGTGCCTGTTGCTCTCTTATGCATTGCTCTGCCTGTGTTTATTGATGTCACTTTGTAGTAGCTGTGAACCATAGGGCAGCATTAACAATGTAACAGTAGTGATGTAGTTAGATTAATAAAAGCAACTATCCCTAATCAACTCAGTGTAAAGTGAATCCATAATCCTGTTTGGCCATGACCCTGTGAGTTGTCAATAGCACTGTTCTCCAAGGAGTCTCACTGATTTCAATCAAACTACTTGCAATGGAAGCTATTATTCAACATATGGGGCTCACAAACTGGCCTATAGAAGAAACCCTTCAATTAAAACATGCTACGATCATTTTGCAGTAATATTTTTCTAAAAAGTTGCACATTTGTTCTTAAATCCTTTCATTCACTGGCTTATTCTTAGCACCTGACCTAGAGCATGCAATAAACTCCTGCCGTTGGTCATCTGTGCGTTTCATACTGAAACTGTTCAAACGTCTTTCTATATTTTTCCACATAGAAATAGCTCATTTGTGAAAAATGTCATTTTAGATTTCAGGAAGGGAAGTTGGTTTAACACCTCTGGGTCTTAGAAGCTTTTGAAAATTTATTACAGGTCTTTTATTAAAACTCTGCTCTATTTTTTTTTCTTTTCAGGGAACCCCAAAGGTGCTATGTTGACTCACAGGAATGTGGTTGCTGATTTTTCCGGCTTTCTGAAAGTGACAGAGGTGAATACCCTGATCTATTCACGCATGCTATGAATTTTTCATTTTGAATTTTTGGGTTATTTTGAATCTATCCAAGATGTGGAAATATCCTGGAGAAGATAACAAAGTGAAATCTCACTCTCCTGGGGCCCAAGCCATTGAAATATGAACAACACTAAGCCGTTAGCAGTGAATGACAGTTGATTCCTCCTCAGTTACAGGTACATGCATTTGGGTCTTGCTCCTGCAAGATGCTGAGAGCTTAATTAAGTCTGATAAGTCAATGAGCTGATTTTTCCAGTATTGGGCCCCTGATGATGGGCAAAGAACCCCAGTAAAATTGTTTCAGTTCTAAGCATCACTCTCAATTACTACAATCTTCCCTAGGCTGCCCATTGCATAAACCAATCCACAGAGAAAATCAATTTCCTACATATTCATTATTTGTTTGATAGCTTTTGTTCTGCACACAATACACGAACAGTCTATGCATCATCGCCCAGCATTAACCACCCTATTAGTGGCCTTCTTGCTCAGATTCCCCCTCATTCCTCTCTTTGCTGCCACTTCTTTGCTCATGAGTGGTTGATCTAACCAGATGACCTCCATTTTCCAGAAGTGGGAGTTTCTCCAGCTTGATCCCATCGCCACTTAGGCCAACCAGAAGTTCCAATGCTTCTGCTCATTTTGGAATCTCAGCCTGTGGTCCATTGTAGATGCATTCTCTGGGCTCCTGTATGCCTTTCCCCCATTCCCATTGGTTCACAAGGTACTCCTCAAGCTTTGCAGAGACAGGGCAAATGTTATCCTGATAGCCCAGACTTGGGCCTGTTAGCATAGGAACTCCATTGTCTAGGAGCTGTCGGCGCAAACACCCATCCAGCTTCCTCTGACCCCAGACCTCATCACGCAGGACCACAGGCATCTTTGCCACCTACCTCTACTCACTTCATCTCACACAGCACGGCATCTTTGTTGCTAAACTTGGCTAAGCTGGCCTGCTCAGAACAGGTCTAATAAGTCTACTTTAGTAGCAGGAAACCTTCTACCAGGCTCACTTACTCTGCTAAATTGAGGCACTTTTCATGTTGGTGCCTGCACTGTAATCGGGACCCTTTATCTACCTCCATTCCTCAGGTGCTGGAGTACCTTGTGTCCCTGTAGCAGCACGGTTTAGTGAATTCATCACTTATGGTCCACCTGGTGGATATTTTGGCTTTCCATCAGGGAGAAGCTAGCTGTTCTCTTCCCCTAGTAGGGAATTTTCTCAAGTATATAGACAGACTTCACCCTCCAGCTCAGCACTCTGTCCCTGAGTGGGACCTCAACCTGGTCCACTAAGTATTCACACCCCTTTAAGGTCCTGGCCTCATGCTCTCTGCATTAACGCTCCTGGAAAGAGACCTTTCTGGTTGAGATCACCTCTGCTGGAGCTTCATGCCCTGATGTCGGAACCCCTATACGCTGTCATTGACAAGGACTAGGTTTAGCTTTGCCTTCACCCAGCTTTTCTTCTGAAAGTGGTCTCCAGCTTCCACAATGGACAGAACATTTTTCTCCTTGTGTTCTATACTAAGCCCTGCCAGAAGTTACAGGAGGAAAAGACTGCACTGTCTTGATGTGAAGCACATGCTTGCCTTCTACATTGACCAGACCAAGCCCTTTCGGAAATCCTCACAGCTGTTCATGGTGGTGGCAGATCACTTAAAGGGGCCACCAGTCTCATCGCTGCACATCTCTTCCTGGATCATGGCGTGTATCCATGCGTGTTATGATCTGGACAAGGTTCCCCCACTGCTTCTTCTGGCACACTCTACATGAGCACAGGCATCTTTGGCAGTTTGCCTGGCTCATGTACCAGTCCAGGAAATCTGTAGAGCTGCAACTCGGTCTTTGGTACATACCTTCACATTGCACTATGCCATCATGAAACAATCAAGACAGGATGAGGCTTTTTGGTGCCACAGTTCTAGACTGTCACCCTCTGACTCCAGATACTCCTCCTGGGTAAGGCTTGTGAATTTAATTGGAATAGATATGAGCAAGCACTTGAAGAAAAAATGGTTACTCAACTTTTGTAACAGTTGTTCAAGATGTGTTGCTCATATCTATTCAATTCCCACCCTATTTCCCCACTGATGGAGTAGATGGCAAGAAGGAACTGAGGAGTGGTTGTGTTGGCAGGATCATACATAGGGCATCACCCTGGTGCTACTCCGGGGGTGGGGAGAAAGCTTCACACTCAACCCAAAGGGTAACAGGTAGGGTAAAACTTTCCGGCAGCTATGCACGTGGCGCATGCACACCTAATTGGAATAGATATGAGCAACACATCTCAAAGAAGGTAAGTACTTTTATTTTTCAGGCTTGAATATGCAGAGGTCCCCACAATTAGTTCCCAATACTGCAAATACTCATGAATGTGATGAGAGTAATCCATTGAATTCTTTTCAGTGCCTGTAAGATTGGGGCTTAATTATCACAATAAAATGTCAGTGGAAGTGTTCACATTAGTAAGCACTAAGAACTTGACCCTGCAAGATGCTGAACATCCTCAAGTTCAACGGAAATTGAAACTACTTAGTATTTTTGCAGAATCAAGCCCCAAAGCCCGACTGAATGTCCATTGCAGGAAATAGGATTTTTTTCATTCATTTTTAATGGGATTGGATCAAGACCTAACACTGTCATTATGTAGTTGAAGGCTAAAGCACTTAGCTATTTGAACATTACTGGAAACGAGTATATTTATTATCCACCTTTAATATATGATGATCCAATAACTTGCCGCACTAAGGAAATTTAACCAAAGCATGAAACATTCAAAGCGAAACAAGGGAGTAAAATCCCATGAATTTTCTGTGAGAAATGCATGCACATAGGAAGTTCTGTGCCATGGTTGCTTTGGCCACGGACTTTTTAATGGAACATTATTTTTGAAAACTGAATTTGTTTCTAGAAAGTATTTGTCAAATACCAAGGAAAAGAAATTTCACAAAGGCCAAGCTTTTACCCTGGAACAAATCTGACCATATTTGCCAAATACAAAATAAAAAACCACCACTGGTTTGGAGAAGGGAGAAAAGATTTTAATTTTGGGGGAAAAACAGAAAAAAATCGCATCAAAGGCACACAATATTTCTCTTTTTTTAGCAAAACAGAAAATACAACCTCTCCCATGGTGAGACTGGTTTTTCACAACTGTTCTCACAGATTTTGAAGAGACACTTGCAGGTAGACTAGCGGCTCTCAGTATCTTACTTGCCTGTAAAAAAGACTGCCATATAAAGGCACAAGTGAAACAGGACACTGAAAATACTAAATTTTTTTGCAGAAAAGAGTGTCCCAATGAGAGGCCGCTTCAGTATTCCTTTCCATGGGAAAGAAACTCAGGGGCTTCTATTGACAGTTACAGCAGAGCATTGGAAATACAAAGCAGATGTGGAATGATACCATTCTGATTAAGCAGGGTTTTACATCCTCTTTGCACTGGCTTACAAGGCATAACATAACGGACAATCCAGCCCTCAGTTTCTGCAATAGCTGTAATATGGCTATCCCTACAACTTTGAACTGTTCTATGTAGAGAGGGGTTTTTTTTGTTTCCTTTCTGATATATGGAATATGAATCTGAAATTGGATGTGCACAGGTGGCCCTTGTGGCTCTGCAGAGCTCCACTAACTTCAGTGAGGATGCACATGGACAAAAGGGGTCATAAAGCCTAAACACCATGGCAGAGGTGGGCAATAAGAGGCTCCTGGGCTGGATGTGGTTCACCATGGTTAGTCCATGGTGGGTCACCAGACGCTTTATTTACCTGCGCCTCTGCAGGTATGGCAGCTCGCAGCTCACGTTGGCCATGGATCACTGTTTCTGGCCAATGGGAGCTTCAGGAAGTTGTGCAGACTGAAACACTGCTTCCCGCAGCTCCCATTGGCTGGGAATGGCAATCCACAACCAAAGGGAGCTAGCGTAAAGCTGGAATAGCTAACCTCTGGCTCCTGTCAGGGTCGACCAAATAAAGGATGTATTCCAGGAACAAAAGAAAGTTGAAGATTGGTGGAATACATTCGGTTCTATCTCCAGCCAGCAAAGCAGCCCTGGGACACCATTTGAACTTATGCTGGGGACTATTTTGGCTCTGGCCATTCCCATTATTGACAGAGTTCCTCCTGTCTCAGCTGCACTGAGGCTGAGTGGAAGTGTGAGTGGGTACTCAATGCAGCTGAGCACTGTGCCTGTAATAGTCACATCCTGAATCAGTCCTGTTTTTTGTTTCAATGTAGCACTTTAAAGACTAACAAGATGGTTTATTAGATGATGAGCTTTCGTGGGCCAGACCCACTTCCTCAGATCAAATAGTGGAAGAAAATTGTCACAACCATATATACCAAAGGATACAATTAAAAAAAATAAACACATACGAAAAGGATTTTTTTTTAATTTTATCCTTTGGTATATATGGTTGTGACAATTTTCTTCCACTATTTGATCTGAGGAAGTGGGTCTGGCCCACGAAAGCTCATCATCTAATAAACCATCTTGTTAGTCTTTAAAGTGCTACACAGTCCTGTCTTTTGTTTCAGCTACACCAGGCTAACACGGCTACATTTCTATCACTATCCTGAATCTGGACATTTCAAATGCCCAGACACCCGTTTTGAGGCAGATGTCAACCCTGAGTGTGCAACTCTTTTTGGTCCCCTCACTTTAAAAGCCCATGGTGGGAAATTGTATTCCTTTGTGTCAGGACTTGTTTGCAGTATGAGCTGCAGAATATTCTTGATAAATACAATCTTGCAGAGGGGAGAGTTCTCCTTTGCTCTCTATGTACATCCTTAAGCGCTTTTCTACTCCCGCTAACTTAGCTTCATTGATGTTGTGGCCTAACACTTCACTTCGTATGCTGCTCTCTCTTTCTTGACAATCTTCACCCTTATGTTCCTCTGGTGCCATTTTTCTTTTTATTGTTTTATGACTCTTTTGTTGTCTTCCTGTCAGTGTTTCTTTCCTTTCTGTCTCCCATGCCCTTCACCTGCAGAAAGTGATCTTTCCGAGACAGGACGATGTGCTCATCTCCTTCCTGCCTCTGGCTCACATGTTTGAAAGAGTTATACAGGTAAGAAACCTGCCTGAACTGACTAGGCCTTGTGGGGCTCCTTGTGTTTTTCTTCCAGAGTCAGTGGTCTCCTTCTTGTGAGGATGTACACATTTCCTATTTGCCTTTAGCACACATGTTTGAGAGAATGGTACAGGTAAGGTCATAGTGTGAGTGGAAGTCCTCTGTTTCCACACTAAACAATAAGATATAAAATAATAAACATAGCAAAATACTCCACAATATACTATAGAGCTAAAATGGATCATACTCCAAAAGTGTTGTGGGTGTGGCTCCAGGGTGTGGTTCTGATTTCATTTCAATAGGTAAATCTGGGGCAGCTCCAGGGGAGTCTCTGAAGTATAACTGAGATCAGAAAATGGCATATGTAGAGAAATAATTATGGTCTGGGAGCAAAAGAGATCTATTCTCTGAAAAGCTGTTCCCAAAAAGGATAACCAGCAATCATGGTGGTTAAAATAGTATTGTACATATTCTTTATCAACTTCACTCTTTATATGGTATAAATAAATCAGATGTGCAGAAACTGAAAAGCAGGAAAAAAATCTATGGTGGTGGCGTTTGCAATGTTCCTGGCAGATAGGTGCAATAATTATAGAAACCATTGTGTCTTGGAAATAATGACAATTAGAAGTACTGACTCATATAAGTGACTTCTCATTCTTTCCAAATAAGAGAGGTGATAGCTTGTGTTATAACTCCTATTTTGTGCAGGAGGTCAGATAAAATTATCATAGTGATTCCTTGCTGGCCTAAAAAAATCTATGAACTAGTGATTGACCAGAACTGTGAAGTTTGGATCTGGATTCAGTTCTGTGGTGAGATTTGAGACAATCCAATTTTTTTTATCCAAATCTGAACACCAGCTTTCCCAAAGTTTTTATTTTTGTGGGATTTTTGCATTTGTAGTTCAGCTTTGGGCCTTACTCTAATAACAGCTATACCAGACTTAAATTACTTTCTGTTATCTGAAGAAAACTGCACCATGGAAATATGTGCTTCATAGAGAATGCGGAGAGAAGGATTCAGTATATTTCTACATGTAATCTCATTTTTATATTCACCCTGGTGACTCTACAATAGTCTTTTTTTTTCTTTCTAACGGTGTGTCTAGACTACTGAGTTTTGTTGACAAAAGTGGACTTTTGTCGACAAAACTATACCAGCGTCTACACTACCGCTGAGTTCTGTCGACATAACGTCGACAGAACTCAGCAGTTTTGTCGACGCTGGTAAACCTCATTTTACGAGGCATAACACCTTCTGTCGACAGAGTTCTGTCGACAGAAGGTGTTATTGCCTGTAGGGTTGCGTCTAGACTACAGGGTTTTGTCGACAAAGCAGCTTGCTTATTAAACATAGCTTAATACAGACTCAATTGATGAAATTACTTAATCAATTTTAGGAACACTTGAAAGCAACTGAGTTCACAGGATACTGTTGGGCTACGTCTACATTGGCCCCTTTTCCGGAAGGGGCATGGTAATTTTTGAAATCGCAATAGGGAAATGCGCGGGGGATTTAAATATCCCCCGCGGCATTTAAATAAAAATGTCCGCCGCTTTTTTCCGGCTTTTAGAAAAGCCGGAAAAGAGCGTCTACACTGGCCCCGATCCTCCGGAAAAAAAGCCCTTTTCCGGAGGATCTTATTCCTACTTCAAAGGAGTTTTACCTTACTGTTAATATGTTGTTGCAATAGTATTCCTGCTCAGAATGAGAGGAACCATGGGTTCAGGCAGTTGTAGGTCAGGAGCCTCAAAATTGGCTTAATGCTATTTCGTAGGGCTAAGTAGATACTTCATAGTCCTCCCAGCCTCAGCAGTGGAGTTTATGGCCCTGTGCAGGGAATCCCACTTGGGTCTTCCACCTTCTGGATCTCCTGTTTTGTCATTCGGTTAACAATAGTCTCAACCTCTCCTCTCCTCGAAGGAAATGTTATAGGAAATTCTAACAGCTGCATGGAGAAAGTCCAGTGGAGGGCAACAAAAATGATTAGAGGACTGGAGCACGTGACTTATGAGGAGAGACTGAGGGAACTGGGCTTATTTATTCAGCAGAAGAGAAAAGTAAGGGGGGATTTGACAGCAGCCTTCAACTATCTGAAAAGGGGAGGAGGGTCCAAAGAGGATGGAGAGAGGCTGTTGTCAGTGGTGACAGATGACAGAACGAGGAGCAAAGGTTTCAAGTTGCAGATGGGGGAAATCTAGGTTGAACATTAGGAAAAATTATTTCACTAGAAGGTGGTGAAGCACTGGAATGGATTAGCAGGGGTTGGTCTCTATGGCCTCCTGACCTCTCTTCCAACCCTATGATTCTATGGTAGTCTCAGAAGACATACAAAAACACGAAGAACCCTCTGTTAACCAGAAAAGGACTAGCATAGAGATTTCGTGGTGAATTATGCATAAATAACTAAATGTTTTCCTATCCCCCAGAATCAGAGGTGAGACTAAAGAAAATGGTATCCCTCAGAACATGAAATCACAGGCTGTTCACCAGCGCCTTTCACCTCCACCTGGCCAGAATAAGTGTAACCCCACAGCCATACACAGAGCTATCTCTGAAGTGTGCTCCACTTCAAGACAGCTTCCCCCATCTGATACAGTAGTTCTGGAGTGACCATGTAAGAGAACTGTGTGCAATCTGATTAAATGACAACCTAATAAGCAGATTTAATTGTGGAGTTGCATAATAAGTCATATGGTAAAAATACAAAAAGCAGAAATTGGGAACTTAAACACTTGAAATTCTCATCCTAGGAGCAGACGCCCTATGGAGTTCAGTGGGACTTGTGTTCCTAAGGGAGTCAGCTGCTTTTGAAAATCATGCCTTATAGCTTTCATTCCTTTTTCTCCCACAAATTGTACTAAATTCTGTTTTCTAACCATGAATACTAAGTAAAGGATCTATGATTAAGGTCTATACTATATCAGTGTGTTTCTACCCAATTTACTATGTGGTTTAGCTGGGTTTTTTTTTTTTAAACCCATTAGCCACAATGGTAAATAAAATTTCAGGAATGTCTTTAGAACAGGGAGAGAGGTGCTTTTGCCATAGTGATTAAATGGAAGGAAATAAGTATTCTGTTTTTCCTCTCATCATAGTCTGTCGTATATTGCCATGGGGGGCGAATTGGATTCTTTCAAGGAGATATCCGTCTCTTATCAGATGATATGAAAGCACTGCATCCAACCATCTTCCCTGTTGTACCACGATTATTAAATAGAATGTATGATAAGGTAAATTTCATTTATTCTGTTTATAGTAATATAGTCAGCAATTGTCTACTAGTTAACTTGGAGACTTCCAGTAGGTTTGGTTTTTTTCCAAGACTCTTTTTGTGTCTCACTGAAAATATATTTGACCAGATCTTCAGTGGGTGTAAATCCGCATAACCTTTCTGAAGTCAGTGATGTTATGTCTGCTTATACTAGCTGAGGACGTAACCCACTCGGTGAAAGTGAAATTCTCTGTATATAGGTCCTGTTCCTACTCCCACTGCATTCAATGGTTATATTCCTTACAATGTCATTGGTACAATGTCATTGGTACAAGACAGTGAAACATGAATCAAACTTGGATGTGCTAATGTTTTCTCTGTTTTTTGAGCTACTTCTAGAGCTTAGTTCTCACTTTCTGCTGGCAGTGACAGGAAAGAGATGATGGTCGATCTGAAAAGAATTTAAATATTGCAAGCTCAAGGCTGACTTGTGGCTAAAAATCCTTCTTGCTATGTAACAATCATCTCAGAACTCTGTGGAAGATTTTTAAGAGGATAACGTATTTAGTAGGCATGTTCAGTATGGGTAGAGTATTTATCCTAAAAGTAAGAGATGGACCTGAGGCACAAACTATTGAGCAAACTTACATAAGAATGTCCGTACTGAGTCAGACCAAAGGTCCATCTAGCCCAGAAGCCTTTCTGCCGACAGTGGTCAGCACCAGGAGCCCTGGAGGGGGTGGACTGAAGACAATGATCAAGCAATTTGTCTCCTGCCATCCTTCTCCAGCCTCTGACAAACAGAGGCCAGGGACATCATTCCTACCCCCTGGCTAATAGCCTTTTATGGACCTAACCTCCATGAATTTATCCAGCTTCTCTATAAACTCTGTTATAGTTCTAGCCTTCACAGCCTCCTCTGGCAAGGAGTTCCACAGGTTGACTATGCGCTGTGTGAAGAAGAACTTTTGCTTATTAGTTTTAAACCTGCTACCCATTAATTTCATTTGGTGTTCATTTCACTTTCAGTTCAAATTTGCGGTTTTGGTTTCTCAATCTCTAGATGAGTACAGGGAGTATTGTTATGAAGATCCAGTTTGGGCTGCTGTCTGATGAAACAAATAAAGATGGGCACCATCGCCTCAACAAATAGCAATGATATTTGTATTAGCTACCAAATATTCAAATTGTTCAGCCCTAGAACTATATCCTTGTTTCACCTAATGGTTCATATCATGGCAATCATACAGAAACATGGTCATATAAATATAGTCCATGCCTCTATTCTCTTGACATTTCTCTTTTGTTTAAGGGATAAGTAAGTACATTTGAGAATAGATTGAAACAAACACAATTGGTATACCTACAACTGCACTGTGGTCATCTTAATTATACTGCTGGCATAACAGTAACTTCACTGACATCCGTACAGTGGAGTCTGCTTTGCCCAGTGATAAAGCTGATCCCTGTGACCTTAATCATAAGGATATTAATCTGTCATGTTTTCTGTCTGAGCTGTGTAATCTTTCATGCCCTCCTGCATTTTCTTAGATCTTTAGCCAAGCAGATACTCCATTGAAACGTTGGCTTCTGGAATTTGCTGCAAAGCGTAAAACTGCTGAAGTTCAAAGTGGAATCATTAGAAATGACAGCTTATGGGATAAACTATTTTTTAATAAAATCCAGGTAAGAACGTGGAAAAAGCGACTGTATAGCTGCTGCTCAAGAAATAAAATGGCATGGAAATTGCAATTTTTCTGCTAGAAATTTAAAATCAGTGCTGTTAGCTTGGCTGATTTGGAAACAGTGGAACTGAAAGAAGGAACCCAGAGAGGAGAGAGCACCATTTTTCTCTTTTAAGAGAGGCATTAGTTTAATCCAGTGTTTCTCACAGTGGCCCATGGACCGACGCTGAGAAAGCTGCTACCTGGTCGCTCTGGTTTGTTTGCTTACTGGCTCAGCAGCCAAATAGCCTCGCTGCTCCCATTGGCTGCGGTTCTCCATTTGCAGCCAAGGGGAGCCACGGGAAGTAGCATGACTCAGGCTACTGCTTTCTGTGGTTCCCCTTGGCTGCATATGGCAAACCACAGCCAATGGGAGCCACGAGTCTCCATGGTTGCGGAGCCAGTAAGTAAACAAACTGGAGCGGCCCGGTAGCAGCTTTCTCAGAATTGGTCTGTGGAGCACTTTAAGAAACACTGGTTTAATCTGCTTATTTTTGCTATGACTTTGGGCACTTGGATGAAATCAATCCCTGTGGTGAGGGTAAGCACAACATATAGGTGTCATTTAGGTATTGCTTAAGTGCTATTTTATGGACTTAACAGGTGTATAACATGAAATCCAAGATGGTGAAGAGGCAGCAGAACACTCTGCTGTTTCATGTAAAATTTTAGGAATCTGAACAAATTTCTATTTATTATTATGTATGGGGAATAAAGTGCCAAAGGGTCTGTTTCACAAGAGCTAGGCCACCAGAGAATTCCACCCAGAAGTTATAACTACACTATAGCTTCTTGCGCAAAAACATGCAAATAAGGCAAAGCGTGGAATATCACTGCACCTCATTTGCATAATTAGCGAGGCTCTGTTTTTGTGCAAGAGGCTTTTGTGCAAAAAGGAACCATCTACATGCAAGAGCCGTTCTTCCACACTTTTTTCAGGAAAAATAGCTCTTGTGAAAAAGCCTCTTGCGCAAAAACGGAGCCTCCTTAATTATGCAAATGAGGCATGGCAATATTCCACGCTTTGCCTCATTTGCATATGTTTTTGCACAAGAGGCTATAGTGTAGACACAGCCAGAATGTTTAGTTTTATATTGAAATTCAGTATGTACTTCATATACCTAAAATGTCCCAGGTGAGCCACTATAAAACAATGTCTCAAATATTGGGGACAGAGGCAGGAATGGAAGAAAAATAGCTATATTCACACAAAAATGGGCTTAACACATCTATTTTCTCTGGGTCTTCCTGCCTCCTTAATCATCCAGACACTCTCGGGGATACAGGGTCCCATCCCTGTGAATTCAGCCTATTAATGAGATAGAATTGTGGGTTTTTTCCACTGAGACCCAGCAGCAAGTACTGTATGTATTTGTGGTGATCTTCCTCTGATTCCATGCCAGTCAAGCTGAAATAAAAGAAAAAAGTGGAAGGGAAAATGTATTTTTGCTAAAGATATTTAGGCTGTTCCAAAATCCATTGAAAAATTCTATTGATTTCAGTGACTTTTGGATTAGGGCCGTTGTACATATCCTAAACCATTTTCCCCTAGGAGAAAGCATAGAAGGCCACAGTTAAATAGTTAAATACCTATGCATTTAATATTCAATTGAACAAGAGGTAAAGGAAAACAGAGTATCTGAGGGCCTGTTGGAAGCAAGCAGAATAATCCTGATGTTTGCTGCAGGGTTCCTCAGTAAAACATGATGTGTTATATCACTCTCGGAAGTTGTGGTTAATTAATTTTCTTATTGGATGACTTATCCAGTGACCTGTCACTTTATGTTTAGCTAGCTAAACTGACTGCTCCTTTCCTCTGTGAACTGCTCACCCTCAGTCTGCAAAGATAAGCATTCAAATGATGCAGACCAGGCACCGGTCTTTCCAGATATAAGGCAAATCAGGATCTCCATTTATTTAGGATCTAGCAAAAATGAGAGTGACCACCTTAACCTCAAAGCCTAGAAATTACAAGAAACTCTTTGCCTTCCTTTTTGGACTTTCAGCATAGCTGAAAGGTGATGATGGGGTTGATGTAATACCATACAGATATTTGTAGGACATCAACATTAAAAAAGGAGCGGAGTTGTTTGGAATTGTTCAGGGAGGAACCACCAAAGCAATATGATAAAAATGAGCAAAAAAAATAATGGTGGCAGAACATTAGGTTGATTTTTGTCCAAACCATAAAGTCATACAGAGTCAGGTGGATCAATGCCCACTTCAGCATGAAGCGATGAGGTCCCTCTTAAGGTCCTGGCCGACTCTACATTTTTATGATTGTATACAGGCACATCTCTGCATCTATGCCAGGCAGTATTGACTTTTGAAGGCACCATTTGGGCAAAAAGGTCTGCCTATGCAGGATCAGTTGGAAGCTAAGACTGTGGAATAGTCTTAAGAAAGAGAGTGAAGGAATCCCTAGTATTTATTTGAATAGGGACTATCCAAAGCACAGGGGGGTTGGTTCTGTGTTTGTACAATGGCTAGTAAAATTGTTTCCTGGTCCATGATGTACGTGGTTTCTCAGAGCTATGATCAAGACTATCATTTTCTATGGAAGAAGGGCTGTTTCTTTGGGGGGGGGTACCTCAGTGCATTTTCTTTCAAGATTTGACTAAATGTTTATGCTCCTATGGGAGGCTGAGTTGTTGTGTGGTTTTTGTTGTTGTTGTTGTTGTTATCTAACAGGCAAGCCTTGGTGGATGTGTTAGGATGATTGTCACAGGAGCTGCCCCTGCTTCTCCAACTGTTCTAGGGTTCCTTCGGGCAGCACTTGGATGTCAGGTACACCACATCAACAGTTATTCACATGCCCTGCTGGACTAGCTATTCTAGTTGTTTAGAAATAAAGGGGACTGTATATTTAAAATAATATTTACCATCATCAGCCACAATAGACATTGTTTTTTTCTGGAGGCTCAAAGATATGAGTAGCAAGAGTGGGTTTGAACCGCAAAAATCAGACACCGCTACAAACTCCCCAAAGTTTAGAGTAGTTTGGATCTAGGACTTTCACTATTTCTATATAAAGGTAACCAATAGCAAAGCTCAGATCTGGATCTGGATGCAGATTCAGGAATATCTGGATCTAGGTGTTAGAGGGTTTATCCCTTTCCCCCATCCACTTCCCTGGTTCTTCTCACATGCACAGAGAGCAACAATACCTAAAGTCCAGAGATGCAAACAATTCAATGGGGTTAGCTTCCAGCAAGCATGAATCTAGTTTCCATTTTTCCCCTGGTTCCCATGTTTTCTTCCCCCCTACTTCCTGTTTGCCCCTAATATAGAGTGATATTTTCAGGTATACTTTAGCCCAAGGCTACTCAAGTTTGGAAGCTCCGAGAGCAACAAAGATACTCCCAGCACATGCCGAGGACCACAACTTAAGTGTTATTGCATATACATGCAACTATATGCAAATAGCTTCTTTCACACTGGTGGGCATGAATACAAAGATTAAGGCAAAACTATACAACATGCAGGCCCCATTTAAGTTAGTTCTGCTGATATTAATTAAATGCAATATGTACCTGATTTCCACCCATCTGACAGTACTTTTAATGAGCAATGACAGTCTGGGAATTTAACCACTAAAATGCATATCAACAGAAGACCATTATATTGACTTTTGTTTGTTTGTTTGTTTGTTTGTTTCGGCTCCTGGCCATATGTTGAGCCACATGTAAATCCAAACTGCACTGCAGGCCACAAACACCACTGAGCACATGACCCAACCCAGGGAGAGGAAGAAAAGGGAGGAGGCAAATATGTGTGCCCCAGCATCCCTGGACTCGGGAGTACCAGGGAGGGAGGAGGCCACATGGCTCCAGCTTCCCTAGCTCCTGGAGCACGGGGAGAGTGGGCACTGGGGGCAGCAATGCTCCGTCCCCAGAATGCCTACAGCAGGTGTTCTGAGGGTGGAGTATGGGCGGGGACATGCCTGGCACTTGGTAAAAGCAAAGCCTTCCCCCGTCTATGCTACCGGACACCCATGTATGTAGGTCCTTGCCGGCCAGAAGGCTATCAGCCTGTTTTCTTTAAACCTTCAAGGATCTTTCCTTTACCTGGAGGCATTAGATTGGATCATCTTTCTAACAGCCCCAAATTGCCTTATTTCTATGTGACTGGTTTGGAATGTGATAGACAACTTGTGGCCTGCGTGTCACATGCAGCCCACTGGGACTCCATCTGTGGCCAGTGGACCCTCTGGCTGTCCTCCACCCCCAAACGCCTCTTCCACACTGTGGCACACTGGAAGCCTGTACTTCCTATTCCTCCCCCTCCCTTCCAGCACTTTCAGAGCACCATGAATCTACAGATTCATGCTCCTCCCCCACCCTCCCAGAGCTTGAATGCTGTGAATTAGCTTCTTTGTGGCTGTTCAAGCTGAGGGAGGGAGGGAGGGAAAGGAGAGGAGTGGGGATGGAGTGTGAATCAGCGGCTTCATGGCATGAGTAGGAGGAAGTGTGGGACTCCATTGCACAAGAGGCAGGGGAGAAGGGGTCATTGAGAGGGTACGCGGGCAGCAGGTGGACTTTGGAGACACAGACACATACTGAAGGGACCTTTCTAATGTTCTGGAAACAAGGTGCTGGCTACATTGGTTATTGTAGAATACAGGGAGTCCAAGGAAACATAACTTGTACTCTCCTAGAATTCTGCTCAGTTGGTTGGCAAAGCTAGTGGCCTCTAGAAGTAGTTGGTTGACAAGCCCCACCCATCTCAGATGCCTGAAGATTACCAGCAAAGAGTTTCCAGAAAGCTGCTCTTCACTGATCTGCAATACATTTTTGGAAAGAATTGGGTTTTTCTGAAAGAGGTACATGCTACTTTATTCAAGCAACCACTAGCAGTACACTGTCCTCTCTTCCCACTATTTTCAGATCCTTACTGTGATGTTCATTCAGGACCGTATATAACAATGTTTCCTATACAATTTGGACCAAAGCAACTTTCCCTGTCAATCTCAAGTGTATGATTGCTACCATCCTAATCCCAGGATATTAGTGAGACCAGCTAGTGAGAAGATAATATCTAAATACTATTTCACCCAATTTGTGTCTCAAACCATAATGCAGCGTGTGACTTAGAATTCACAGAATTGTGCAACCAGAAAGAAACTGAACAATGTTCAAATCATATGTAAGTGTTATTCTTTCATCAGATTCAAAGCTATATATCTTTTTGTCAGGTTTATGAAGGCTATGGTCAAACAGAGTGCACAGCAGGATGTACGTTTACTACTCCAGGTGACTGGACATCAGGTAAAAATTATAGTCTCTTTGAAAAGGACAGAATTGTTATTCTATTTAGATTCTACAACTTGTAATGTCTACAGGATACTTTATCATTGTGCTGAATAATTGGGATGAATTCAGTGTTCATGAAAGTGAGGCATTAATGGCATTAGCCAAAGACAGTTAAAATTTGGTTAGATGCTATGCAAGTTTCCCTAGAGAGATATGGAACCATTCTTTGGTACTGATCTGCAAAAATCACCCATCCTTTTCACTTCTGGCCTGCCTTCTGCAGTGATTTACTCATGCTATTGTATTGTACTTGTCAGATGTACCACTCCAACAAAAAATAGACCAACAAATTAATATTCACTTGTCCCTAAAATCAAGCTTTGAGCACAGATGCAATGCCAGATAATGGGAAAATGAAAAGATGCTCAGTGATTAAAGTTTTTCATCTGATTACAGCTCCCAAAGATTTAAAAGTATAATAGCCTGGTTTAAAGATTCTAGGTTAACTTAAATCAGAATCCATCATCTTGTCAATGCTCAGCAAATAATAAGAGTAACACAGTATTAATTATCAATTTTTACAGAAAGGCATTTGAACAGGCATTGGAACTAATTCATTCAACTGAATACTTGCATAAAAACTGGACATAAATGATTGATTAAAAACCTCTCCCTCTTCAGCAGTAATTTTCTGTGATTGGAGTAGAGCACAGAATGTTTTTCAGTGCCAATTGCAGTGCATTAGGATGTTTTTCTGCAAAAGTAGAAAAGGCCAGTTACCTACTAGGAGATGCACAGACAAGACAATTTTCCGTCGTATTTTTCACTATGTTTGTTTCACACTCTCTCTTCATTTTGGTACAATAGTCAGCTCGGGCAGATGACCATTTTGTGGGACCCCGGAAAGCATAATTCCGTGGGGCCCCCCCTTTGCCATGGCGCATGCACGGTGATGCCATGCGCATGCGCGGTGGCGCCACGGCGCATGCGTGGGGCTTTTTGAAGCACGGGGCCCGGGGCGGCCGCCCCGTGCACCCTTCCCTATATCCGCCCCTGAGTCAGCTCATAATTAATGAACTCACATTCACAAATCTATACTAAGGACTGGATCCTCACTTTTGTTAAATTTGTTAGTCCTAAGCACACTTCACCCTAGGCAAATATGTGAAGGATTCTCCTAGTATGGATGGCAGAGAAACTGTGTACTTTGCCTTTCATAGGAACCATTCCTTGGGATAGACCTGAACACCTTTGGACCCTGTGATCTCTGTCATTGACAGCTGGAGTGATTTAGAGTAGTTAAAGCAGATACAGTTTACTTTGAAGAAATTGAAAGTGAATGTAAAGGCATTGTAGCTGCATTTAAAGCCATGGTAACTCAAAGGCTTAGAGTTTTCTAGATGGTGCACGGAATTGAACTTTGTGTTCTGTTAAGTTACTCTGAGTTAGGTCTTAAAAAGAGGGATTGATTGAATTTCCGGTTGGTCAGAGAAAGATGGTAAGGTGAAAGGGTCCTGTATTGTTACACTTTTTAAAATAGGGTGCCAATTCAGACCGGTTAAAGGATTCTGCACACAGATACACTGAATGTCAGGCTAGAAATGTGTGATTTGCTAATAACCTCCTGAGTAACATTTATAGAAAGAAATGATAAATAACTTTTTAACTTTGATTTGCAGGTCATGTAGGAGCCCCTCTGCCCTGCAATTTAATCAAACTGGTGGATGTGGAAGAGATGAATTATTTTGCTTCCAAAGGAGAAGGAGAGGTATCATCTCCAACATTAGATTTTGCCCCTCAGTATTTAACTCTTTGAGACAGGCTGTCACTGTGAGCCATTTGTTACTGCTTGTATGTGAGAATCCTTTTTAAGTGCCTCTTGTAGTTATAGATGCATTCTATGCACCAGTTGAGACTAGAAAGGAAAAAAGAGAACAGAGGAACAGGTCAAACAGCAGTAGAGCATCATAGTCTTTATGAGAAATACAGCGTATTTTAGAGAACCTACAAGTAGGGCTACAGCTAGTTACTTTTGAAGGGGCTGAGGGTCCACACAAAGCAAACTCTTACATTGCTACAGAACCCCATTGACTCCACTGGGATAGAGGCACAAGGATTCACCTAAGTGGTAGGAATGTAAATGGTTAACTGGTAAGTCTCACCTTACCAGTTCTGGTTAACTGGTAGGGGCTAAAGCAGCTCCCCACCCGGCCTAGGCAGAGGGGCTGTTCCAGCTCCGTGGGGCTTGCCAGAGCAACCCCTGTCCGTGAGCAGCAGGGGCTGCCGGCTCCACTCCTGGGAAGCCAGCTGCAGAGCCTGCAGCTAAGCCTCTCCAGGAGCCTCACTCCCAGGGAGGTGGCTTCCCTGCCAGTCCCGCTCCCTGTCAGGGGGGTTCCTGTCTGGCTACACTCACGGAGAGGCTTCACTGAGGGCTCTGCACTGTATAAAGCTTATTAAAGCCTTATACTGCAGAGCCCACAGCGCATGTAACTGCTATGAATTGGTAGCAGTTGCATGGTTACATTTTTAAACAAATTTTTACATCCCTAGTAGATCCCTTCACAAGACTAGGGCCTAGGGTTATAAGGATCAATTCGTCCAGGTGCATGCAGCCTTAGTTCAATGAAACGCTTATTGAAATAAATAGGACCCTACCAAATTTCTGGTTCGTTATGGTCATTTCATGGCCACAAGATTTGAAAATTAATAAATTTCATCTTTTCAGGTGTTTAAATCTGAAATTTCAGGTGTTTGTAGGCATGGGGATCCCAACCCAAAAGGTGATTGCGAGGGGGATAAAAAACTGGTTGTAGCCGGACTCTGAAAGCAGCCACCACAGAGCTTCCTGCAGCTGCAGCAGGTTTCAGGAGGTGGAAGTGGTTCTGATCTCCCCCATGCTGCTTAGAGCTCCCCAACCAGGGGTTCCTAGCTGCTGATACTGTCTGGCTTGGGAGAGACAAGACTTATGCTTCCTCTGCATGGCTACTGGGAGAGATACCCAAGAGCACCCTGCAGGGAAAGAACAAGTCTTGTCCTGCCCCAGTTCTGCCCTGAGTAGAAGCTAAGTGCCCTTGAGCTGCTGGGAACACCCCAGCAGGGACATGGGATCCAACTCCACAAGTGTCCTCCAGCTTCAGGAACATCTGGGTGGCTACCCAGTCCCAGAGCATCCTGCAGGAGGGGGAGGCATCTAAAGGTGAGTCTAGTCTCTCCATGCTCCCACAAGCAGCTGCACAGGGGATAGACAAGTCCTGTCAGTCCCCAGCCCAACCAGAGCTAGGAGCCTACTTTGCTTGGGCAATTCTAGAAACAAGGGGTCATCTGATCAGGGTTGTCCCTACCAGTGCTGGTGCCCTACGCACCTTTGCCCCAGCACAGAGTGGCCGCTGGTGCTGAAGCTGTGGTGTCAGAGGGTTGCCAACTTGGATGGAGTGACAGCCAGTCCATCTGGTCTGGGAGTGTTGGCAATCCTGGGGCAGGGCAGGGAGGGAGTCTCACCTGCAGCCTCAGGGCAGCAGGGGGAGGGCATGAGCAGCCACGCTGCTGGTCGGAGAGAGGTGGCGCTTTGAAGGGGAAACCACTGTTTCTCTCTAGCCTCCGGCTATGTGGCTAGCCCCCGAGAGTTCTCCAATCCCCACTCGCACCGTTCACTGCTGCCTGGTGAGCAGGGGTGGGCACTAGGCTTGCTGGGGGCAGGGGATGATCACATCTTTCAGCAAAATTGTTTCTTTTTGAAAATATGTGGAAGATTGTGGTAGAATATGCATTAGCAGTTCATTTTTCTATTCTCATGAAATACTGTCAAAAGACAATTTTAGGGATGGGAGGGGGAGAAGTCCAGAAAATTTCACACTCAAATTGACCATAGTTTTGCATCATCTTGTTTTCCTTCTTTAAAAAAACCACAAACTACTGTAGATATAAAGTGAGGGGTAGCATAATTTAAAATGTTTTATTTTATAGGAGCACTCAGATGGGAAAGAATCCACTTCTTTAACATTTTGATATAATTCCATAACAAAACCTCTGGATTTTGTCAGCAACCATGTCTCTTTTGCAGATATGTGTGAAAGGACCTAATGTTTTCAAAGGTTATCTAAAAGATGGGGAGAAGACAGCTGAAGCTCTGGATAAAGAAGGATGGCTTCATACTGGAGACATTGGGAAATGGTTACCTGTATGTACTGAACAGTTTCTTAGTTCTTGTGTAAATTATATATCCCTATGTAAGTTCTAAGGTGGTACACTTACATTTTCAAAGAAGTCTGTGTCTGTCTGTGCACGTGCACTTGTTTTGTATGTGTGGAATAAGGAGTTGGTGTATCCTCAGAGTCAAGTCCACCCAAGTGGGTACCAGATACAGGTCAGCTTTATGCCTGAGTATAGCATAAAGAAAAGTTTCTTTGATATCTCATTAGTTCATGTAAGATATCAAGCAGATTTGCTTCTCCCAGAGGCTATCTTAATATCTAAAGTCAATCACTCAAACCTTAATTAATTTTTGAAAGAGATGACACTGGGGAGAGTGAGATCAGTTCAACTACTACTGAAATTGGGCCACCTCTCTGGCAGAATGCTGAAATCAACTCACTTGTTTTAAAGACCAAGCAGCTTTTTTTTTTTTTTAAGGAGTACTGAGTATCCTCAAATATAACTCAAGTCAATGAGAACTGCTGGTTCTCAGAACTTATGAAAATCATTTTTTTTCATATTTAAACTCCAATAATATTTGAGGAACAATCAGCATCTACATTGAAACATATTTTTAAATTATCAGGTTAAAAAAAAGATCCTACCTGGAACAAGAGATGTAAAGACAAATTCAAAACAAAACTGGGAAACCTCTGAATAATAAAGCATTTTCTTTATCTTTTGAGTTTTTTAAACATTATTCTGGACCTGGTTTTACACATGCAAATGCATGCAGACAGAATACATTTTTAGACTGGAAAAAAATGAGAGGAGAAAAGACCTTTTTAATTTTTTTTAATTTTTTTTAAAAAATTTTCTTACGGGTTGGGACAAAATGACAAATACTGTATAGTCATGAAGTATTTTTTGGTTAAGTCAGTTATTCTGACTACCACAATAGCACTTTCCTTGCCTGTGTGATTACAGTTTAGTTTAATTTATTTTGGAAGTTTGGATCAAAGCCCTAGTCTATACTAGGGAGTTATTTTGAAATAACTCCCCTTATTTCAAAATAACAAGCAGAGCATCCACATTATCAAGCCCATTATTTCAAAATAAGGGGCTGGTTATTTTGAAATAACTCCTGCTTTCCATGAGGAATAACACTTATTTCAAAATAGTTACAGTAGAATCCTGATAATCCGGCACCTTTGGGACCTAGGTGGTACTGGATTATCAGATATTCTGGAGTACCGGGAGGTACTATAAGGGGGCATACTACCAACCCAATCCCTCTCCTCTACCGTCCCCCAGAGCCAAACACTTCCCCTCCTGCTGTAACCCAGTCCCCTTTCTCCCCCAACCTTATGTCCAGGTCCCAAGGCAGCTTCCTGTGCTCAGTGGCTGGCTGCTAGCAAGTGCAGGCTGGACACTGTGCACGCTGGGGACCCTGAGCGGAATGGCATGGGGCTGCAAATGTGCATGTGGCTCACAGTGGCCCGGCTGTGAGAGAGGCTGATTGGAGCACTTCCGGGTTCCAGTTGATGCCGGACTATTGGGAGTGCCGGACAACTGGATCCCAGACAATTGAAGTTTTACTGTATTTCAAAATAGCGGTTGAGTGGACACTCTGCTGCTGCTATTTCTAAATTAACTACTCCCCAGAGTCATTCAAAGTAATTACTCCACAGTGCCTCCTGAGGTAGCGTGTCCACATTAAGCAAGCCTCCCTCAGACTAATTTCAATGCTTCCCCATAGTGTGGATACACTATTTTTAAATCATTATTTTGGGAGTTATTATTTTGACATAAGTTATTTTGAAATAATTTCCTAGTATAGACATGCCCGAAGAGACTCCATCATGGCTGACAGGCTAAAAATACATCCTGTATTTAAGAGACTATATTTATCAAAAATGTCCTCTGATCCATAAAAACTCTTTTCCAAGTGAAGGCTACAAGGTTGATTAAAGTCAACATTTTCTGCTGGGCAGCTAAACCACCCGTAAACCCTGGGAAGGACCAGTTTTCTGGGTTCAAACACTCTTGCTCTGATCTTTTTTCTGCCTGGATGGTCCATTCTTGCTGGTAGGCAAGCAACTGTGCACCTCTTACTAGTTTTACTGTTAGCACTTTAATTGAATGAAGAGTTCAGTGCAAAAATGCATTGCTTATGGGGCCTGTATATTCAAATAACAATGTTGATAACCAACATCTCTCTTTCCCAACAGACTGGGACACTTAAAATTATTGATCGGAAAAAGCATATATTTAAACTTGCTCAAGGAGAATATATTGCACCTGAAAAGATTGAGAATATTTACATCCGCAGTGAGCCTATTGCCCAGATATATGTGCACGGAGACAGCTTACAGGTAAAATGTAACACTTCAAACTAATTTTAAAGCCAGATCCTGTGCTAGACAGGACCTGCGCCTCACACTTGGGTTACTTGGGTGACCATTCTACCCCTGACCTCCCTCCTTCTCAATTCTGGAATTGGCTACAATCTCTGGTTAGACCCCCAAACACTCAAGCAACTATACAAAGATTGAATGTGCAAGAATCTAGCTTAATTGTCCTCCTTCAAATCTCTTCTTAAAACTCTCCTTTGCTGTGATGCCTATTAAAAAAAACTTGAAAAGGGTTAGGCTGCTGATGTGCTGAACCATTGGCATCAACTTTTAAAAATAGAGAACAGCAGAGTGCCTGCTAGAATGCACTTTAATTCACAAGTGTGGGACAAGTGCAGGACCATTCATCACTAAAGTTCTGCATTGGACCTGCAGTTGAGGTCTGTCTACCAAGTGCTTACGAAGATGGGCAGAACTAGTCTCTGTATTACAACAGAATAGTTGAGCACATATTTTCAAAAGTGGCTTCTGAAATGCTGCCCATAATTCTTCTCACTAATGTTTTCTGTGTGAAAAATCTGCATTTGTGTACAAGGTGGAAATAGTTGCATGTGTAAGCATCCAATTTATCCATCAGTCGTTGGTGTTTTACATACCACCAGGTGCAATTTCATACACCATAACAACTACCCCTAACAACTAAAGACCAGGACTTTTACAGGGTTCAAAAAAGAACTAGATACATTCATGGGTGATAAGTCCATCAATGGCTATTAGCTAGGGCAGGAAGGGTGTCCCTAGCCACTGTTTGTCAGAGGCTGGAAATAGATGACAGGAGGGGGATCACGTGATGATTCCCTGTTCCGTTTGATCCCTCTGCGGCACCTAGCATTGGCCACCGTCAGCAGACAGGACACTGGGCTAGATGGACCTTTGGTCTGACCCAGTATGGCTCTTCTGATGTTCTTACTCACTGATCATGCCCCTGAGCCAAACATTTCCCTGACATCAATATGATTTCTCTAGATCAGGGGTGGGAAACCATTTCTGGGTCTGGGGCTGCTGACCTATAGAAAAATCTGTCTGGGGCTGCACATAGATGAGAAGCCAAAAAAAAAAAACCCACCCAAACTGTCATAGATATGGCCCAGAGCTTAGGAGGGCCCAGACTAGTAGATTTCGTGTACTTCAGCACCATGGAAGACTGTGGGGGAGGGGCTGGAGTGCCAGCGCAGGAGCGAGAGGGGCGCATATGGCTCCCGGGCCTTAGCTTCCCCCCCCCTGCTCTAGATGGTCCGAGATCCATAAATGGAACAATGAAAAACAAAATGGACCAAGATCCACTTTCACTTATACTACCATAAAAGCAAAATAAATTTGTTAGCTTCAGTGCAGAGTTGAATTCAAATTGCAGAATCTGAGCCAAGTTCTGACATATGTTAACTGTCATTTTTGGACATTTTTATCTTCATCAGAAATACTTCCTCATGAAATTTGATCCAAATAAAGTGCTTTATTGAAATTATTAAACCTAGCAAACTAAGAGAAATTAATTATGTACTGAAATATTTTATGTTAAATATGGGTCTTTCCTCAGTTGATTTTATTTATTTATTTATTTATTTTTAAATGAAACAGGCCTTCTTGGTTGGAATTGTTGTACCCGATTCTGAAGTGATGCCAGGCTGGGCAAAGAAAAGAGGATTTGAGGGAACACATGCAGAGCTCTGTAAAAATACGGTGTGTCCTTAAAAATACATACATGGGTACATTTAATTAATCTCGATCTGTAATATCATGCAGGAAGTGCTAGCACTGAAATAAAGGTATGCACACATAAAAGAGAATAGGCAAACCAAGCTTTTAAACGCCTTAACATCATTGTTATTTAATAGCACTACTAATGTACTTGGCACTTTCCTAATACGAAAGAAGACAAAGTCATCAGTAATCTTGCACCTGCATATTCCACATTTTTTCCCCCCAAGCACTGGGCATTGCCTGCAGTCAGACACTATACCGAACTAGATGGCTCATTTGTGCAATTACGCCCATTCTTCTGAATGTTTCCGTGTGTGTATATATATATCATACAATCTTTTTCTATAAGTAAACCTATGCAATGTCTTTTTTTAGATGTGTATGAAAGGTAACACTTTGTTTGTTTGTTTGTTGAACTCAGCTGCAAAATTAATAGTTTATAAATAATGGCAAGATGCAAAGTTTAAGGGAGAATATTCTGCCTTGGTGGCTAAAATTAGGCATTTATATTCATAGGTAGGCACCTTAATAAGCATGTCTAAAAGAGTTTGAAGGATTACAGCTTTAAATGTCCATCCTCGGCCATTGTAGTTTGAAAACGTTAGCCTTTACATTTTCTATAAAAGATAAAGAGCATAAAATATTATTACATTACTCATTTATAAGACATTCAGACAAGTTTTCTATTTATAAAGACATTTCTTTTAAAGCAGCATGCTACTTGACATATGAACTGCCAGAATCAATAGCGTATTTGTGCTTTGATCAGTAAAGTTTATTTTCCTAATGATTAATATAATTGGATGTAAAGATGTCTTTTGAAAAGTAATGGATAATTATTTGTTCTCATGCAGGAACTGGCAAAAGCAATAATGGAAGATATGGTGCGGCTAGGGAAGGAGAGTGGACTTTATTCTTTTGAGCAGGTATAAGAACATTATTCCTTATGGTCAAATAACATGCCATTTATGATGAATAGGCAGTTGTTAGTATGCATCATATATACCCTAAATGTCTGATTACAGTGTGTCTGTAAGTAATTATAGCTTGCATTTGTGTATTTCTTAAATCCTTTGGTCCCTAAAGAATGCACCAATATTGCCACAAAGGTCCACAGTAATTAAAGCCTCGTGATTAGTATTTTAGTGGTTCCATGCAGGAATTTTGTGAAAGCAGCACTATACCACTGACAAAATACTTTCTTCTTTCGGTTAAATAAGGACTTTAATCCCTGATCTAACTTTCCACACACAGCAGCAGATTTGGTGGGAATGATGGGTGCATAGGCAATGCAATACAATAGCATGCTCTGTATAATCCTTGATATAATCACCAGAGGCCAAGACCAATATTTTTAGGAGCCTGATCCTACTCTCATTGAAACCAATGTTGCAAAGTAGGATCTGGTCCACAGTTACAGTATAATTCTGGTAATGACCTAGAAAATAGTGTACAACTGCTCTGTTTATTTTCAGTGCATGCACTAATCCTTTCTGACGCTTGCCTAAATATTTTCTGCAACAGAACTACAAACATTCCAGCAGGAACATTCTGAAACTGATGCAGTATTTCATGGTGTAAGCGATAATATTGATCAAAACACAAAAAAGGCTAACATCAAATATCTCAAAGTTAATATTTTATTGTCTATCTGTTAAAATATTAATATAAAAGTGAATATCAGATTCTAAGACATTAATTATTTAAAGGTCACTAGTAAGCTTCATTTGTTTGTCCATTTTTTGCTTGAGAAGTCCAATGAAAATCCAGTTTGCAGAAGTTCCTGAAACCATACGTCTTGTCTCCATTTTCCTGACATTTCCATAACTGATTAAAGAAATTCCACATGGAGTGAGGGTTATAATACATTAAATTGGCTGTCTAATAATTACCTTGGGCTGTTCCTGCCCTAACTTTCACAATATGAATACCCGTAACTCACCAATTCTACTGACATGCATTAAAAACAGTGAGGTTATAATGAAAACTTAACTGCAATACTAAAAATCTAGCGAGAAACTATGCAAAGGAAATTCTTGAATGTATTGCAATTTGAAAACAAGTGCCTTCTGTGTAGAGTCTCCTGTGTAAAGCAGTATGTTGTTGTTATGACCTAACACTGGGCAGATTATCTGACCAGTATGAATCATACAGAGAATCCCTTGGCATGGGTTCAGTTTCCCTGTGGATAGAGTTGGGTGAAATTTTTCACACAAATAGTTTATTTGCTAAAAAATGCAGTTTCAGTCAACCCAACTATTGCTGAGATGTGAACTTGGTGTCCTATGTCCCAGGTGAATGTCCTAATCACTAAGGCAATGTATACACCACAGCATTATTTTTGAATAACTAATGTTATTCTGAAGTAACCTAGTCTGCATCTACACAGTAAGCAGTTATTTTGACATAATGCCAAAATTAATATTGAGTTGGGGGATTTCTTACTCCAACTCCTATAACCCTCATTTTACGAGGAGAAAGGTAAGTTGGAGAAAGAGTGCTCTAACTCTCACTTCCTGCTGTGTAGACCGCACCAAAAGCTGAAATAAGCTATTTCGACTTAAGATACGCAATTAATGTAGCTCATGTTGTGTAGTTTATTTTGGCTTTAGCCCTGCTATGTAGATGTGCCCTAAGTTACAGAGAGTATCTGGTCTAATGACTATTGGCATTAACTAAATAAAGCAAACCCGAGAATTTTTAAACAAGTTCAATTAAAAATCCTTTCCCCTCACAAATTGCTCCACATCCACTATCTTAATTCTTGTGATATCACCATTTCACTAGTTCTCCAGTAACCCCAAAGTACTTCTGAGCAGAAAAGTTCTGAATTTCCAATACATAAAAATATGTTGGAGAGTAGTAGATTCAATATATTCTGCATGTTTGTCATAGAGATTTTTTTAAAGAAGTTACAAATGGTATGTGAATTTACCAGAAACTCTTTTCTTTGGCATGGGACGGTATAATTTTTCTTTAAATCTTTTCTTGAATCAAGGCAGGATATTGCTAATTTGAGGAATCTTGTAATTTGTATCAAACTCTTTCATACTCTTTTAAATAGCTATAACATCAAGCCATAAAGTTTACCATTTTAAGTACCACGATGATGATGATTTATGTAAACATTTTGTTTTTAATTGCATATAATTCAAGACATTTTCAAAAGGTGCTCAACTTAAACAATTTAGAAAGGACGAGTATTTCAAATCATGCCTCCTTAGTGTGTCTCAAGTGAAGCATACAAAAATTACAGTGCTCAAAATCACCAGTCCCTTTTAAAAGTCACTTTGCCACAGTATGTAAAGAAAGTATTTGTGGTCCCTTCATTTTGCCCCTGGAATATAATGCACATAGGGAAAAGAAAGCCACAGCTATTCATGGAGTAAAAAGGCCGTTCTTATACCACACTTCCTACAACTTCAATCTGTCAAACATGAAGTGGATTGGCGATGGGCAAAAAAGGCAGAGGATGGCTAAGGAGTCCTATCTGAACCCTGTGAATCGTGGCCAGCAGCCACGCACAGATGTATTCTATAGTTCCCCACCACACAGCACCACCATAAATATATTGGAAGCACAACCACCTGCCATCTGTACCACGAAGCCTCCTGCTGTGCTCAAACACCAAGGATTAGTAAGGGCAGCCTTGTCAAATGCTGTTTGCCTGGGACTGAGTGATTTTCATTACTATAACTGGTCACTAAAGTTTTTTTTTTTTTTGCACAAGCATCATCATGTTGATTTTGGATCTGAAGACTTTTATGCCTAGGCTAGTAAAGCGACATGAAGGCCGTGTCAGTGCTAGTTAGCAATTTTGGATAGATGTAAACCTACGCTTCAGAAAGTGCGTGTCCCTGAATATAATTTCTTCTTCTCTTGACTCTGACACCTTCCTATCTTGTGTGACCCTTCAGCTACGTGGAAATGTTGTGATGGGGAGTCACACATATCCCCAAAAAATCAGAGTGGCTCGAGCAGATGGGAAAGGTGGCTATGTTCCTTTGCTCTCATGGGCTGTGTCTACATTGGCACCCCTTTCTGGAAAAGGGATGCTAATGAGACCAGTCGGAATTGCAAATGCCGCGGGGGATTTACATCTCCCCCGCGGCATTTGCATGAACATGGCTGCCGCTTTTTTCCAGCTCGGGGTTTTGCCGGAGAAAAGCGCCAGTCTAGACGGGATCTTGTGGAAAATAAGCCCTTTTCCGGAAGATCCCTTATTCCTTGAAAGTAGTAATAAGGGATCTTCCGGAAAAGGGCTTATTTTCCGCAAGATCCCGTCTAGACTGGTGCTTTTTTCCGGCAAAACCCCGAGCCGGAAAAAAGCGGCAGCCATGTTCATGCAAATGCCGGGGGGATATTTAAATCCCCTGCGGAATTTGCAATTCCGAAGTGTCTCATTAGCATCCCTTTTCCAGAAAGGAGTGCCAATGTAGACATAGCCTCACTGTCTGGTTGGCAGACCAGACTGGAAACATACAGTTTTTCTTTTAAGGCTGGGGGGTAATATTTTTGTGGGGGAGTGGTGTGAACCAAGGTTTATGGAGCAGGGTGAAGATGATGGTAATAAAAGCAAGAAGGACGGACTGATTGAAAACTGGGGAGAGACAACCATTGTACTGACTGGTGGTGTTCAAACTTCCCTTCTCCACTCTGTTAGTGCTTCTTAGTTCTAGCCTGCAACTAGAGATGTAAAATCCTGTTTAATTGGCTAATCAGTTAAATATTGTTTAATCAGTTAACTGATTAAAGTGGGAGGCAAGGAGGTTGGAGCGGCTCCCAGCCTGCCAATGAGCTGGAGCACCTCTTTTCCTTCCCCACCGCTGCAGGCAGGGGCTATTCCAGCCCTGTCAAAGCTGGAGTGAGGATTAAGGGTGAGACTCGTCACTTAATTGGTTAAACCTTCAAATCCCTATTTGTAACTCAAATCTTGTATCAGTCCTAAGCATTCTGTTAAACGAAGAAGAGTGCATGGATGCTTTGGGATATGGACAGACAACCAGTGAGATTGCAAATGGATCCAAGAAAGTCATTTTTTGCTGATGACCTAAGCAGGATAGTTACAATTTCAGTAGTTTCGATTAGTACTACTTAATAATGGATTATGTTAGTTTAGTTTTGCCATAAATATTTGCATTTTCTATTTCAGGTCAAAGCCATTTACATCCATTCTGATACATTCTCAGTACAAAACGGCTTGTTGACACCAACGCTAAAGGCTAAGAGACGAGAGCTAAGAGATTACTTCAAAAAACAAATAGAAGAGCTTTATTCAAGTGTCTCCATATGAAACTTTAGGAAAATTCTTCTGAATAATGGACTTTATAGCAATATTGAAGTGCATACTCAAAAGTACAGAGCCAGAATGACAGAGTTGAAATCATTAAGCATCTGACTTTGTTTCTGAACTTTTTGTTGTTCCAAGACCTCACCATTGATATAACAGTAACTTTTCTTTTTCATCAGCTGTAGTATCTTATCTTTTTACAGTATATAAACTATAGGAGACTACTGAAAATTACACAATATATCCATAAAAACTGGCATAAGTTCCAACAAATCTTAAGTATATCATGAAAGATTATGTTGTTGTTAATTCCCTAAAACTTTACTGATTACACACCAGGAAAAAGGTATGTGATATATCTGTTGATATGATTATATTTAATGTTACAGATTAGTAACTACAATCCTGGACAATTCAATTGTGTGGTCTGCCTCAAACATTCAAAGACTGGTCATGAAAATTACAACTAAATCTGTCTTCCCTATATAGAACTTCAAGCTAGCTACTTGGCCAGAGGTTTTTGTTGTTGTTGTGGGGTTTTTTGTTTGTTTGTTTGTTTTTTTGTTTTTTTTAATAAGTGATAGCTTTTATACGCTGCAGGACATGAATTCCATTGACTTTTTATGTAATCATCAACGATCACACTCAAGGTATGTCTACACAGCAAAGTTATTTTGAAATAACAGCCGTTATTTCGAAATAACTTTCCTAGTGTCAAACAAGCCAACTGCTATTCAAAACTAATTTGAAATAACGGAGGACTTATTTAGAAATTGGTAAACCTGATTGGTAAACATGAGGAATAGCACCAATTTCGAAATTGCTATTTTGAAATAAGTGCTGAGTAGATGCTTATTTTGAAATAGGGGGCCTCCAGCCCTTCCCAGGGTGCCCTGCTGGCTGCCCTGACAACAAGGTAACTTCTGACCTGATGCCCTGCCGGAGCCAGTTCTGACTGGCCTTAAATGCAATTCAGTGTCCAATCAGTGTGGACGCACTATTTCAAAATAGCAAAAAGCTATTTTGAAGTGCATTTTGTGTGTAGACACGTTATTTCAAAATAAGATATTTTGAAATAACTATTTTGAAATAACGCTGTAGTGTAGACATACTCTAACAGAAGCTTCAGAGCGGTAGCTGAGTTAGAACAAGGAATGAATCTCATGATTTTATTTGTACATAATATGCCTATTAGGTCTAATGGAAAAAGCCAGAGTAATACCACTTTGTAATTGCAAAAATGTTTTAGGAAGTTTTAAGAATTCTGTGTTTCTTTTTCTGTGCATCTGAACTTAGTTTATAGCATGGCAGATAGAACTTCGGGTACGTCTAGACTACATGCCTCTGTTGCCAGAGGCATGTAGATTAGGCTACCAGACATAGTAAAACGAAGCGGCGATTTAAATAATCGCCGCATCATTTAAATTTACATGGCTGTCGCGCTGAGCTGACAAACAGCTGATGTGGCGATTATTTAAATTGCCGCTTCATTTTACTATGTCTGGTAGCCTAATCTACATGCCTCTGGCGACAGAGGCATGTAGTCTAGACGTACCCTTCCTTAAGGGGCTGATTCAACACGCTATGCCTCTGGGTTCATAAATGTGCAAGCTGGGAAGGTTGGGGAAGCATTCCTGGCTCTGTGGCAGACTGATCTATTCAGAAGGATCAGCTTCCTGTGGGAGCTTCAAAATAGAAAGTGTCACAAGAAGAGACTAACTAGTGTAAGTGAGCTCTCTCCCTCCTAGGCTCCCTTGTTTTCTTAGTTTATTGCTTCACCTGCTGCTAATGCTGTGCAGTCCAATCATATTAACTTCCTGGAACAGCTGCAGGTAGAGGAATGGAACTCTGGCCCAATATATGAACTATAATTGTGAACAGTATCCAGTCAAACAAATCTACTTGCGAGAAAGTGTAACACACATGCCTTGTGTGTAGAATCAGGGCTGGACGGAGGTATGGGTGAGCCGGACAGCTGCCCAGGGCGCCAATCCACAAGGGGCACCTGATGGCAGCTGTAAGGGGTGCGTGGCGTCCCTTGCAGCTGCCATCAGGACATCTGGAGCCGCGCGCCCGGCTCCCGCGGCACCAGTCCCACGGCGCCGGACAGCAGTGCTCTTGCCCCTACGGCTGCGGGGCCATGCATGGCCTGGTGCGTGCACTAGCAGTGTGGGCCAGGCCGGGCTGGGCAGCGCATGTGCCGTGCACCCCACGGGCGGGCCTGCGCATGTGCCCTGCACCCGGGGGCGGTGCAGCCTGCCTGGGCCCAGGGCTCCAAAACGGCTCGGGCCGACCCTGTGTAGAATAGTAATAGAGATGTAGCCATGTTAGTCTGGTCTTGCAGAAACAAAAGACAGGACAATGCTGCACTTTAAAGACTAATAAGATGGTTTATTAGGTGATGAGCTTTCGTGGACGAGACCCACTTCCTCCGATCAAATTGTGGAAGAAAACTGTCATGATGGTGTATATGGTCATGCCAATTTTCTTCCACAATTAGTCTTTAAAGTGCTGCATAGTCCTGTCTTTTTTGTTACACCTTCTGTGGTTCACTGACCAATGCAGTGGGACCTAGACCACAGCCACAGCTAAGATCAAGAGACCTCTACAGCATGGACTAGGAGCCTGCTGGCTTTTTGCTCAGAGGGTAGATGTTCCTATACTCCACTCCAGAGGTGCCAGGTTCAAATCCGCCTGGTGGTGGTTACAAAAGCATGGCCTCATATTCCCATTGCTATAGTGCAAGGGTGGAGGGCCACCCTTGTGTTGGTGGAGAGTAGGAAGAGGTGTTACTCCTGAGTGTCCATATGGCTGAGGAGTGAGCTTCCTCCACAATTTTCCTTCCCACCACCACTGTGAGGTGTCTTGATGGGGGTGGGAGGTCAGGTTACCATCTGGCTAATATATGACTGGCTTGGCCAGTTTTTTTATGGATTTACCAGAAAAAATAATTTAGACTGCTGGGTTTTTTTTTTAATGTGGGTCTAAAGATTTGCGTTGTCTCAGTATATTTGGATATTTAATGTTAAAAGTCTTTGTGTCCAGCTAAAGATGTCGCAATGTTTCCACTTCTGCAGTTTAAGGGTATATCTACACAGCAACATTCTTTTGAAATAACTTAGTCTGCTTCTACACAGGAGGCAGTTATTTTGAAATACTGTCAACCTGGAGGACTGCTTACTCCAAGTCCTGTAACCCTCATTGTACAAGGAGTAAGGGAAGTGAGAGGAAGAGTGCCCTGTTTCAAAATAAGTGCTGTGTAGATGCTCCCTATTTCGAAATAAGATATGCAATTGACGTAGCTTATTTCGAGTTAAGTCCTTTTGTGTAGATGCACCCTAAGCAATAATGGATCAAAAGTGTTAAAAATACATTATCTGTCTGTCCACCAACATGGAAGCATAGCATGCGTGTATGAGAGACAGTGTTTAAATTCTGCAAAAGTGATATCACCTACATTTCTCTCTTCTTGTAAGTGGCTGTTTGAAGGAGAGGAGGGTTGTGGCGTTGTCTAGCAGTTAAGGTGGCAGCAGGCTTTGGGGGGAGGGGCACTGGGTTTTATTCTATTTCTTTTTGCATTTCAAAAGTGGGAGGGGGCACAGGTTTATTTATTTTTCTCTCTATGGGTCTTCGCAACTGAGCTTTCAGCTAGGGAGACTGATGTTTGTGCTACAACCACTTTGAAATTTTTCTTTGACTAACTGAATCAAGATGTATTGAGGAAGGATCCTTCTCTCTATTTTGAACATTTGCAGAGTTCTAATACAATTCCATGAGCACCATGATCATATAAAGCAGTTGATCTGGATGAAGCCTTCACTGTGGCAAAGGGGAAGTCACTGGAAAGACAATATCTCCACAATGATCTGGAACCACATGCTCAAACAGCATAGTTGTAAGCCTGTACAAGTCATGGAACTTGAGAACTCTGTGAGCCAACAGCCTTGCTG